CTTGGCTTTATGGTTGGGGTTAGAATTGGGTTGGGGATATAGGGTTAGGGACTCAGTTGTGATGGTTTTGAGGGAATGCATTATATCAGTGATGTTGTGTTGTTTTAGATCCTGTAAAGTGCAGATCAGAGGACATATGATTCTGTGTTTCTTTATTGTTGCATGTATGCATTTACAATAAACAGTATGTATTCTTGCTAGTAGCTCCTGTGAGGCTGTAACAGCAAAGTCACTAAAAACAAATGGATGAAAATTGACACCACTCTTAAATAAACCAAAAGTGAGCTAAAACATGTAAATCTGATGAGGAGATTATTTATTTATTTATTCTTGACCAAAGACAACAGTATGAGCAAAAATCAAATGTAAAGATGTAAAGTTTCCCCTGTGGGTGGCAGCAGAGGAGAGGTCATATAATTGTGGGGCATCTGAGACTCAGCTGGTCAGACTGGGCTCCTCTGCTGTATGAGCCTGTATTTATTGTAGTAAGATTTCAGCGATGACATCAAGGATTTGTTGTACATTATTTGGTTACAGAAAAAGCATTATAAATCATCCGGAGGTTTCACTTACATAGCTTATATAGCTCTCGATATATAGTATTGCACCTACTGTTTGAATGCAGCTGTGCCCTTTCCACAGGACATAATGAAGGGCATGCTGAATATGTAATGTATGCCAGAGATTTTCTGCCATGGTCACTGGCTAACCATCAGATAGCAAACATTTACTGACAAATTCTGTGTAGTGCAAATGTATTTTTGCAAATGCATGTCTGGTGCCATCTGGTGACTTCAAGCACTGAAGTTGAAGGATTTAAATCGAGTTCCAGGCGCCTGATGTATGGAGGAGAACAGCTGCCATAATATTTCTTGAATTGGGCTGGTGGAATAATGAACACATCTCAAAACACACAAAGTTTGCAAAACATACTTAATTGGGAGGACCCACGGGACCTATAATGTTCGGGATAAATATAACGCTGCACTGTACCGTATACTGGTGTTACATAATACATTGTTTTCGTGAGTTACACGGAAGAAGGGAGTGTCTCTTCTTCTACTCCATGGTCCGCTGGGAGCCGAGTCGGCAGTGAAAGAATTAGTGATATGAGAGTCAGACAGTGTGTTGAAATTTGTGACTGATGGTGGGAGGCTTTCCAGACGAATCTGTCGCTAGCCATCACCTGCAACAACAACAAACAATCAGTTGAGCAATGCTCGGGAGATAGCGGTTTCATTCTAAGCAAGTTAGAGCACGAAATGTTCCCTAAGGATCTTTATGAAACACATGTTCTGAGCTCCAAAGGATCCCCCGGGAGCAAAGAGATGACTATTAAAAAATCTATTCAATTTGACTAATGAAATAAGTAAAGAACAATAAACAAAATAAAGTTTAAAGTGCAGAGATAATCTGATAATATTTTGCAACAGTGTGCTGCATTAACTTGCACTTTAGTGAGGTAAAATAATCCCCTTTAGTCCTTAATCCTTCAGGATACAAAGGTGATATCAATACCAACCAGGAAATATTGTCTAATGAATATATGAATTAGTTTAATGATTCACCTAATTAGCATTATTGATCATGTTCGCTATGGTGGCCCAGGTGCTTCCTGTCGAGATCTAATTTTCCATAAGGGACGCTGTATGTTTATTTCAGGGTGGACACGCCTGTGCTTGTGCTGGAACAAGAGCCACAGAGGCGTAATCACACAAGGGAGACTCTCTCTCTCTCTCTCTCCACCTCGCTCTGCACAATCTGAGGAAAGAGACTTAACGCTGCCGTCAAGCACACCCCAAGTGTTTAACTGCAAAAAAGGTGACTATAACTACTCTTACTTATAACAAGATTGTAACTTAACTCTGATTCATGTCTTGGTTTGCCTGTAGTCTCAGATGAATAACAGTTCTCACATATGTAAGGTGTATTCACATTTTGTATACAGAGGGCATGTACTGATAAATTCTTCCAGGAGTTTTGTGATAGAGAAGAAGAAATGCAGCTTCGCTTTAGTAGTAGAGTAACTCGTCTTTTAAACAATTGAAGGTTTGTGTTTTTCTTTTGACCCAAGCTGACTTATGACCTACACAATGTCTCTTCTCTTCACGTCTTGTTCTATAAAAACATCTTTTTACCTGCTGAATGGTGACCTCTTAGCAGATATACTGCTCTAAGCTTTTAGTCCTGCTCCTCTTGCAGTCAAGATGCCAGAAACAGCAGAGGTTGTGTCAGCCACCCTCACCACCAACAGAAACTGCACCATAGAAATAACCAATGTCAGCGGTAGCTACTGTCTCATCAACCCCAAGTAAGTCTGTTAATGTCATAACACATGTTCTAATGATTAAAAGAACATAATATGTATCATCAAACCTGAGTGGATGAAGAGACAAGAATGTTTACTGTACATAAAGATAAATGAATCAATGATCCCAGTTACAGCTTTATTAAGATAATATAGTAAAACAAAAAATACAATAATGCTGTTCACTCTACTGCTTCTATGGTTCATCAAAGCCCCTGTAATGAGGCCTACAAAAGTTATGTTTCATTCATTCTCTTAACTGGAGGCGGAGCAGCTTCGCTAAAACTTCAAGTTACCTATATCAGTGCATGTTTTCTCATGATACCAGTGTATATTCACGAATGATTGGTTCCAGGAAAAAGGCATTCATTTTCAAGCTTAATACAATGCTTTGAAGTGCTTTGAGTTTACAGTGCCAGATTCCAGCTCCAAATCAGCATCTTGATACTAGAAGCACCCACTTCCTCCACAAACGTTTTCATCAATAAAAATAGAATAGTAGTCATAGAAAAAGCACAATTTCCAGCATAAAAATTTTATGTTAATTCAATGTGGATATTCTGTATTTAATCAGAAGTAAGGTACAATGATGAAATGATAATGAAATACCACTTTACTAGGTATTTTGGATAAATAAATAATTTGTTTTATTTTACCACTCATTTCTCAACAGTGAATGAACAATAACAAAACAATAAGATAAATAAAAATTAACTCTGTCTATTGGAATTTGTCCACATTTATCTAGCTGTGGCAGGACAGACCATATCTTGGATGGGTGGTTTTCATGTGTAACATCACTTTGCTTAGAACATCCACCTATCCATCATGCAGTGACACACACCGCCTCATTGCACATCGCATGCAGGTACAGTCACTGTTGCTTAGAAGTCCACAGCAGTACTCGCACGGTCACACTCCATCCATCAGCATAAGGTGTTTCACCCTGGAAAGCCCGACACTCAGAAAGTGCACTGACAATCTCCACAAAACTTATAGAACTGTGTTTTTTCATCCAGTGTCTGGGAAGTGTGACATAAAAGTTGTCAACTGATTAATAGTGACGGTAATGGTTTGTGTCTCGCTCTCGTGTGTGCAGGGTTTACATGACGAGTGGCTTCTGTCACCACCCGCCACAGCCTACAGTCCGCACCACCAAGACCGAAGTGTGCTCCTTCACCAAGGACGACAACACCGCCACGGGCGCTGTCGGCCTGCTGACCTATGACCTGTTCCATATGCAGAGCCGGGTTTGCTCCGAGCGCATGGCCATCATGTTCTCCGTGCCCTTTGACCACAACCTGTACAAGAACCGGCTGGCCGTGGGCGTGGTTGAGCATTCCCGTGCTTGTGACAAACATCTGTACGACCAGATGTATGATGGGAAAGACCTCAGTAGCTTCACCCGCTCTGACGCAAATGGCTGTGGGCTGGAATATAGAGCGAAATCTGTTGATTTGAGGGCTACAATGTCATCTATTGGCAAAGCCATTGTTAAAGTGGAGCTCTATGATAAAATGGGTCGTTAGCGTGAACGACTGTGCTGTTGTTCTGTTTTTATTTGTACTTTGGCGCTTTTGTACCCACAGAATAAATAAACTTCATTTGATTTGACTACTGTTGCGTGTTGTCATCCAGAGGAGAGGAAGACGGATTTGGCTGTCATCTCTACTTTGTCTCCGCCGAAAGATATCAATATCTGACAGCCAGCTCATTGATTCTCCATTAGCTTATTCCTTGGGCTTATGTACATTGTACACACCCTTCTCTTTGATTGTGATAATAAAACATTCAAACCTACTGCTTGTGTTGCCTTGTGTGTGTGGGACATTCTTTTATTATTACTGATGAACAGTGATCATTTTCTAATCTCTTAGCTGGATCCATCCAATTCTAATGAGTGGCAACAGATGGAATATCTGCATAGATGTTTTTTTAATCGGCCAGATAACAATATTGTTCTTCGCTGGCTGTGAGACTTTCAATCTTGCTCTGGATTCAGATGTTTTTGTGTGGTAGCAGGGGGTTCAGCAAAGAATAAGAGAAAAGGAGCTCCAGAGATGTCTGTCTTAACTTGTTCAGTTTGCTGTTTTTATCGTTACACAATACCACAGGAATGAGATTTCCAAACCACCTCAGTCAGTACAGTCAGACATCCATGTACCCACAATCCTATGGGAGAGAATGAATGTGCTAAGTGAGTGATCCCATCTTATCCAACAGGTCTGGATCTGACTGGAAACTGTTCAACTTTTCCACATGCTAGGGTGTGGCTGTTTTATCCGAGAGGGAAAACATATTTGTTGTTCTCATGTGGGCCATGGCTTACTGGTAACTGTGTGCTGAAGGAGGGTCTGCCAAAGGAGGGTGTGTGCTGTCTAACTGGGGTTGGGTTGCATGTGGGAGGGTTTCCTGGGTGATGGCATAAATCCTTGTTTAAAAAAAAAAAAAAAAAAAAAAACCCAGCAGCACCTCCCTTTTAGGTAACTTTTCCCATTTTGGAATTCGGGAGCACCAACAGAGGTTCTCAGCAGGTAAGTCAAAAGACTTTGGTTTGAGACAGATCAGATATGGCTCCTTAGCTCATGACTCTGGCATATAGAAGTTTGATTTGTATCTTGTATCTGTTGATAAAAGGTGTGATAATTTTCTCTTGTGTTTTCACTTGAACTTCATCGCTGCTGTCATCGAAGGCACGCTGTAATTAGTCCGCGGCCTTTTGAAATCTCATTTGCCTCTGAAATGCATCATTCATACTAAGTGCCAGTCTATGTGTGCTTTTGAAGGTCAGTGTAATGCCAGTGCAGCTTTTCAGCAGAGCAGAGTTCAGGAGGGTATTCTCTATTGTAAGTGTGATTTCTCGTATCCCCTGTGTTCGAGCCGGATAGGAGGTGCTAGTCACGGCTGTGATGTTTCTTTCATTCAGATTGTTGGCAAATTAATTACCTTTGTTTCACAAACAGATCTCACATCTGTTGCAACATGTCGGAGTCAGCTGAAGCTGTAGCGGCTGATGTGAGCAGCAAAAGAAGTGTTACCATTGAAATCACAAACGTCACCAACAACTACTGCCTCATCAACCCCAGGTGAGCCCCGACTCTGCTGGAATCATGTATTTCCAGACTTGAACAGTATGAAACATATTATGCATATATATGTCCACAAAACGTTGGTGTGACGTATGTGTCTATTTCTGTGCTGGTTAGGGTGTATCTCGAGAATGGGGAGACATACAACCCACCTCAGCCCACAGTGCGCCCTCTCAAGACGGAGGTCTGCACTTTCACCAAGTCCAGCGGCAAAGCGACCGGTAGCGTTGGTGTGCTGACTTACGACCTCTTCGAGCGGTCACAGAACGACTTCATTGAGACTCTGGCCATCATGTTCTCAGTTCCCTGGGACTACCACCTGTACAAGAACTGGTTTGCGGTGGGCATCTACAAAAAGGGCCGTAACTGCGATAAGGATTTGTACAAAGAAATGTACTATGAGAAAAAGCAGCATGAGCATGGGTTTGTCAGGGAGGAAGCCAATGGCTCGGGAATCAATCACGTAGGCAACTACCTAGATATCAAGGCCACCATGTGCCCCCTCGGCAAAGCCATCATGAAGGTGGAGGTGTGGGATAAGCTTTTCACACCCATGGGTCAGCAGTTTTGCTAGAGACCCCTCCTAACCACTATTTCCGTCATTTGTCCCGACGGCAGAATTCATCCCTCCATCTCGAGCGTTTACCTGGCAGATAGTCTAACACAGTCAACATGCATGACTTAACAGACGTATCACTGCTGACATGTGTCTGTATACCTGGGTATTACGTTTCCATAAATCTGCTTAAGATCAGAGTTTAATTTGTTTATAAATCCAGGCAGCAATATCCCCCTTTATGGCTGACGCCTCTGTCTGTTTCAATAGCATCCGGTTTTGAAATGGCATCTTTAGAAATGGAAATCAAAGGCTGACTCACTGGAGGATGAGGGCACATAGCTTAATAAAACACACGGTTGTCTGTATTTACCTTGACACTGTAGTCTGAGGAATAAAATAAACCTTTTTTTTTGCTGAAGCTATTTGTGTTTGAGTGCCTGTCGATTGAGTTTAGAAGAGTGTTTTAAAAGAAAGAAATAATAATAAAATTTTTGAATACAAAATTGTGTTCTTTTGTGCTATTCAAAACATGCTTTGTGTGTTACTAGATTCAGGAGGATTGCACTGAGGTTTGGACTGAAACAAAGGCTTCAGTTTTTTTTCCATAGGGGCTGTAAGACAACAGCAAAGGGACACACCCATTCTCATGTTGCTCACCAAAGCACATCAGTCATCGCTAAAACTGTCCTCACAGTACACTGCACATACAGTAAACTGACTGCAATTCATGTGTAAATTCGTTGTGGCAGCCACCATTCTTAAAATGTTCTGTATAGCAAACATTTAACACAACTGTTGCAGTTTCGTTCACAACATTTTCAGAGCATATGAAAGCCAAAAATATTTGCAGTCCCACCATCTCTGCTGTGGCCCCTAGCTGTGGTGAATTTCATTGAAGATGTTCCATTGTTTTCTTTTCTTTTAAAGTAATCTGCAGCTAAATTATTCAAATTTGTGGAAAAGCAGTGCAGCCAATGAAAAGAAAATCAATTGTGCCACAAAAAATGTCTTAAATAATGTCTCTATGTCTCTAAGAGATGCAGTAGAAAAGTATTTGCACCCAGATTGTAAAGATATAGGGTGTTTTAACTGCCTGCGTTGCTATCCTGACAGAGCCAGAGGGACCAGTAAAAATGCTTATTTCTTAAGTTATGTGGTTATTGTGTAAAACACAATCACTGGTTCGTTTTTATGAGCCAGTAAACTCATGGAGAAAATGATCAGAGGCACTTTAGTATTTTGCGATTATGACCTTGGCAGCCACTACGAGGCAGTGGTGACTGAGACAGGCATGGAGTCAGGTGAAGACCTTGTTATTAGGACCGCTCAGCAACTCACTTACTAATACCTTCATAATTCTTTAATTGGGTAGAAATGACAATCTTGATGTGTTAATGTCACTATCAAAGGATTTGTTTTTGCAGTAATGGCACAAGCAGTTGTTTGTGCGTGCAGTCATTAACGTTGGGGAAATGTGGGGTTGTGAGGCAGCGGGGCTGAATATCAGCTCTTCATTTACATCACAGGCGAAGTTATCAGGTTCCTGGATTCTATTCACAATCTCCACACTGCATTCCTGATTCTGTTTTCCCAGCAGATCCATGATGCTTTTTGCAGCATTAACTGTTCCAGCCACAAAGAAGCCTAGATCAAAGGTTTTTGCTCACTGTCACCGTTGCATTTACATGAAAGCCATACATAATATAGAGCCACAGACTAGGCCTGTTTAGGCTCAATGTCTGAGGCATTGTCAGGTGGGTGTATTGGAGGAATGACACACTGTCCCTATAAACACATCCGGACACTTAAGTTTGTCGGAGTCTTTAAATGGGATAAGTTCCCACCCGTTCCTTTTCATATTTTTCCTTTCAGTCTCTCCTCTAATGTTTACTATACCTGCACATAAGTCTTCTTTCATATCTTGTATTATACTGTTGACTGCATGTGTTTGTGTCTTCACTGGAAGGTACAGTATGTGTGCTGGCACGCTTTTGTGATGAGCATCTCTGAGTGTAGGGTACATTTGCTCCTGCCCATGCAGATATGGATATTTTATATCAAATAAATGCCTTTGTGCATTATGTGATTCGTATTTTAGCCTGAAAAAAAATTCAAGAACACTGTGGGATTAGGCTTCTCAAACAGGAAACAAAAGATGTGTGAAAACTGTATTTTCCTCTGTAGATAAATGTAAGAAGCTCAGCATTTGTGGATTGAAAGTGATGCTATTTACTGCTAAACACGAATGAATCTGGCCGTTTCACTTGGTAAAAGCTTCTGTCTCTCAGGATGTTCAGAGGAAAGGGAGGTGGATAAGTGCGGGTGAACCATCCATGTTGGAATGTCTTTTCATGAGACAGAAAACAGGTGATCACTCTGAAACAACCGTGAGGCTCCTGTTAAACTAACTGCAGGAAGATGAGAAGAGATGAATGAGAGAAAATCATTGAATCTCAGAGAAAAAAAACAAACTAGAAAACCTGAAAAAACATCATTTTAAGCCACGAAACCCTTACAGCCTGTTACAGCCTTTTTAAAATGTGCATGCACACTTGCTGTTTTCTGTATTTTGATACCAAAAAGGAATATTTGATATTTAATTAATCTGCTTTGTTGAACTGCCACTGTACTTTTCATGCTATGAATAAAAAAAATGTTTTTTAAACCGCAGGAGCATGTAGGAGTGTAGAGAGTATTTGCCTTCTCTGTTATCATCTCCACCTGTTCTCTCAAGACCATACAGTGACTGTGTCTCTTCAGTGCAAAGAAAAAATTTACGCTTAACTTTTCAGACTCTCGACAAAGCCGGGCCCGACCGTCACAAAGCTCAGAGCGCTTTACTTCAGAGAGTCAGATCATAAAATGTATTTGCATGAAAGGTTCAGCTTCCAAGGTTGATTTAATTTCTCTTATTCTATTTGCTTTGAAACTAATCCCACAGTGCATGAGAACTGTACTGTGTATTGACTCAAAATGGGAGTAACCAAACAAAAGCATAAAATGAATTTGAGTGACCTGAGGCTTGAGTGTGCGCTGCTTTAACAGCCTAAACCACTACATGCCTGTGACCAAAGGTGTAAACAACAATATAATACATACTCGTCTCTCTCAAAGTGAATAGACCTATACTTAAAAGTGAGTGCCTTCAGTCACAGAATATGCTCTCACAGACTGCCATCTAGAGGCCTCCTCTGATATCAAGTGCACCCACACTATTCACATCTTAACAGCTCTCAGTGAGACTTTAAAAAAAAAAAAAAAAGAAGTTGTTTTTAAAACATAGTTCAACTTATATTCAAGGCTCTGCATAGAGATTGCAATGACAGTAATGTATATATTCATGGTTGGATTGGTTTTAAGAAGAAACCTTGCCTTTGTGTTCTTACAGAGTCCATCATCACAAGCAGACAGTGGTATGAAAGTGGCTCACCCCATGTCTTCTTCTGTTATCCCCGGGTCCAAACATGTCCTGACATCCAGCTGGGTCTGGTACTCTTGGATAGTTCCCTCTGTCTGCCCCGATGCGTGTCAGGCTGGCAGATGGGGCGCTTGCAGCCCCCCCACCCCCACCCCCATTATCAGAGCTCAATTACAGGCCTCAATCTCAGTCAGGCCCCCCCCCCTCCCCCGCAGCGAGGCGACAAGGGTAAAACAATAAAGTTAGATATTGTTAAGCTAAGCCGGAGCTACATTGTTCTGTGTGTTTGTTTTGTTTTTGCGAATTTTCTGTGGGTCATGTTTCGCAGACTGTTCATAAATCCTTCGGATGAGATGTGAGGGTCAAAGGTCATGTTACCACTGGCAGGCTTTGGAAATTGTCTCATCATGTTAGTTTGTTATTTTGAAACCTCTCAGCATGCAGAGTGATACAGATGTGTATCACGTAACAATACGGATAACTTGAGGGCGGAAACTCTAAATGTTCTCTAAAGTACTCTTACATTATCACAAGAAAACTGAGCTGCCACCATGTTTCCTTTTGAATATAACACTGGTGGATAAATATTGTGTTTTAAAATTTCTGTTTGTAGCTTTACACAAAGGTATTACAATTCTTTTTCCTATTGTATTTCATTTATTTATTTAAGCCTTGGAGATCATTGAGTTTTCCCTCATTCGCAATGATGTTGAGATACACAGAAATATACAGTTAAAATTCAAAAGAGGAAAATACTGAGTGAAAGAATCGCTGAGGTGAGGTGAGGTGGTTTGTCTTGAATTGTCCAGGGGTGGTGAGCGTGTCCATCTTGAGAGTGTCTTGTAGACAATTCCGTGTGTTTGGTGCACAAAAACTAAAGGCAAATTTTCCAAGTTCAGAGTAAACCCTTGACTTGAAGCATAGGACAGTTAGGAGAGTGAGTTTGGTAGGGCCCTGTGGTCCAGTCCAGCATAGATGTTATATAGGATGGTAAATGTCCAATAATAGCTTTATGGATAAAAAGGTACAGATGTTTATCACACCTCTGCACCAGAGAGTTATTTGTTATACAGAATGCAGTGGTATTTAACCATCAAAACACCGCTGTTAGTTTATGTTGGGCTTTACAGAAATTATATCCAGTGCCAGTTCCAGTTTTGTTGTACTTTGTCACTGGCCTTTAATTTTTCTCTGAGCGCACACTCAGTTAGAGTATGAATAAACTACTGCACATGAAGTGATCATCAGTTATAATTCATGGAAACCGTCCTTGGTTTTGAAGACTCATCTGTGGTGATGAACCCATGACTTTTCCCTTTGCTTTTGGAGCAACTTTCAGCTCTTTGTTTTGATTTTCTGGCCTTCAATGTTACTGTTCTGGTCCATTCTCCCTGCTCTCCCGGCATCAAAAAAAAAAGAGGGAGACAGAAACACCACCTACCCGCTACCTGCCCAGTGCCAATCAATGAGCAGAAGCCATTGAACCTAGTGGAGCATTTAGCAGAGCCACATATTTCCCTCAGGAGTAAGTGGAGAACAAAAGCAGAAATGATATTAAAGTGAATATAAGACTTACTTTAACCAGATGGACAAAAACACAATTCCAAAACGGATGCTAATGCTACTCCATGTCTTCTAAGACTGTAAATTAGCAGCTGTTTATTAAGCAGTTCGCCATATCAACAACAGGTGATGTCACTGTGTCTACAGCTTTTTTCTGCTGCCCCCAAGTGGCCAAAAAAAAAGTGTTAGCCCAACATTGCAAATGAGAAGTCTGTGTCTACAAACACAGCTTCAAGTCTTCAGTGGTGATGTGATGTGAACCTCTGTGTCATTTCTGTGTCTGTCTCTACCTGAGATGAACCAGCAGACCCTGTTCCTGCTTTACTTGTCAGTTGTTATTGGCTTCTGATATGGTTTAATATGCAGGTGAACTACTCCTGAATTTTGTACATTATTTCTCACTAGCGTTGCTAAGATTGCGTATATGCTGTATTAATTTACTTTACTTTAGATCCACTTCCACTTGGATGTGATGTCTCAGCTGACAATGCATGTCCGTGTCCATTGTTTTCATTTCCTGATTCTGATGATCAGCTCCTTCTGTTTATATCTCTTTCTTCTCATTGTCCTGCTGCAGATCTGGGTTTTTTCAGGGATAAATCTCTCAGGATCTACATCAAACCAATAATATTGGCTTTCAGTGGGTGCAGGCCTTGCTTCTTTTCCATCATCGCCGCAGAACTGAAGAAAATTTCTCCCTCTTGTCATTCAAATGCTCATACGGCATTGGAACATGGTTGTTCATGCTTTGTGATTCTTTAAATTTATTCTGACTCATCGAGTAGCAGTTTTGATGTCAAACCTACTCGAATGAACAGTCATGTGCTGCCAGCTCTGTGTCATCCAGCTGAAGGGTCAGCTCTGACACAGCAGGGCCAGCTGCTCAGATCTCGCACAACAAAGTAATTACTCATGTCACACCGAATGACTCGCATCAGCGGCTGCAATCTTTTAATTTTCATCAAGTTTGGCAAAACTCCACTGTGCACATGTTCCAGTAAACTATTGGTGAGAAAAACATAATGAAAACAGATTTTTATGAATAAATACATCTATAAATCAAATAAGATAATGAAAACTCATCAATAACTTGGTGTAGGCTGCTCCGGGAAGCTTACTTTCTCTCGCCAGCTGCGGAGGTTGACCTGCTGTCATTGATGCTGCCGAATGCTCCTTCATATGAAGAAGTGAAGCTGACACTATCAGCCGTATATAATGCCAAAGTCCCCATCAGCAACTGCTGCCAGAGGAACCAGCAGTTGCTGTACAGATGCCCTTACCTGCCGTCCTTCCAACCTCTCTGCCAGATCTCGAGGACGTAACAGTAATCAGCTCCCGCGGTGAGAGGACCTAGAGGCCGCGACAGAGACTCTCGAGTCAAAACCCAACACCCTGCAACTGGAGACACAGCTGAGGCTTTGCGAGTGAGATCAGTACTGCAGAGAGAGGAGGGTGTCTGGTATCTTTTTGTGCTGTGCAAACACAGTGCAAGCTTTGTCCTCAATTCTATGAATATACATATCTATGGCGGCACCATACAATTGTTTTTGCGAAGTGAGCTGAATTAAAGCCACTCTCTATGGAAGTATGAACAAAGACACTGCGGCAAACAACAAGGCAAGCCACTCACAGTCCAGCACACATATTATGTGGCAGTATTCAATTGGGTTGAGTTCTGGTGACTGTAAAGGCCATAGCATATGATTCACATCATTTTCCATACTCATAAAACCATTCAGTGACCCCTCATGCCCCACAAATGGAAGAACAGCATAACAGAGCCACTGGATCCCCCCTCGCTGTAGGGATCGAGCGTTGAGGCCTGTACCATTCTCATGGTGTACGACCGACAATATCACTTTTTTCCACATCTCTAGACCAGTGCTTCTGGTTTTTGCACCACTGTTTTTCCTTACATATCGCACTAATGTACGAGCATCTCAGTCAGCAGATGTGCGCTGTCGATCACAATTTCAGACCCTATTATCTGAAGTCTCTCCCATAGATCTAAATGCAGATGTCACTTTAGTCCCTGTTCCTATTGAAACACCAACCAGCTGAGCAGCCTTTGTGAGTGAAGCTCCTGCCATCTGTGCCCCAACAATGAACCCTCTTTCAAAGTCACTCAGATTTTTTCCTCAACTAAGCCTGTTCACCATTTTTATACCTGCTACAGAGCACAGTGCACCTGTGTAAAAGTATCTGCATTCGTTATGTTTATCCACTCATTTATTCAGGTTTTTTTTTATTTTGTCACGTATGTGTAATTTGTCAATCAAAACTAACTAAGATTTTACACAACAAAATATCTTTCTCTCTCCCTGATCCCTTAAAAAATTTTAAAAAATTTTAAAAAATTTAAATTTCAGCCCCACAGCATCAAGTCAACCCACTTTGGTGTCAGTGCAGATAATTCAAACTGTGGCCTGTATGGGATTATGGTCAAATCATCTTATTTATATACAAACTGAGGCCTCTCAAAGTGTTATATAACTGTGCTGTGGCGTGACTGAGGGGCTGGAAAATAACCTATTGGCCTCATATACTGCTTTGAAGGAATCCTGATGATAGTAAACAAAATATACATACTGCAATAGAGGCTGAGAAACACAGTTCATGGAGGCAATTAAGGTACTTGAGCAACTTGTCATAAGTCAAATTTGAACTCACAGACAGGGATGACCACAGTGTTAGACACTGATTGATCCTGGTCTGTTTCAAAGATGGATACATACAGGCATGAGCCAAATGTTACAATTGACAGAACATACATTAACCTACTTAGACATTTTCTGTTCTGCTTTATTTCATGTATGCTTAATGTAAAAATTACAGCCATGTTGGTATGAAAACTTCCTGCTGAGTTAATAATCAATTTATCATTGTTCCACTAGAGGGTAATGTTTCCTGACTGATAACATTCTCAACTCTCTCATCTGCTATAGATCGACCTTGGGTGTTTGAATTCTGTACTGAATGTGTACACATATGGTTTTGTGAAACAATTGATGTGACTGATAAAATATGATTAATACGGTTTTCACAATCACATATTGCATAATAGCATCACAAATGTCTCTGGCTCGCTCTAAGAATACGGAGTTACACAGAGTTGGATGAGATCAGAAGGGGGTGGGGACGAGGATGGTCCCAGCATCTAGAGAGGAGGAAGGTCACCAAACACACTTTCCCACCCAGCCCTGCCAGACACATACACACACTTACATACAGTACGAACAAACACAGGTCCACCCTGCAGTGTTGTTTGTGCCAGATGAGGGTGTGATACATGACTGCTGTCACTGCTGCCTTCACTACATGAGCACTTGCGCAGCATAGCAACTGCACCGCAATATACTGCTCACTGAAGATACAGTGAAACACTACCTGAGGCACAAAGCAATGCCATCTGCACGGCACTCGAGGGAAAGGAACGTTTAATCAAATACTGACAAAGGTTAAAGTGCACTTCTGTCAGAATGATGCCACAGCTCTGTTAATGTATCTTTGTTGAACATGAGCTTCATTTACCCAAAGTCCATATGAGTAAAAAAATAGAGCCATCAATCCAACTGTACATTTAATTGTATAAAATATAAAAAAGTATATCAAAATGCATACAGTACATGGTGTGAGAGCAGGCAGAATGTGTTCTCAGACAGTACAGTAAGTCCTGACAATGGCAGAAAACTAACACAGTATATAAATACACATTTTGTTCAAAATCTGAAAGCACCTACAGTGGCTTTCTGGTCGTAACAATACATACTCATACGTTATCAAGATCCAGGCGAAAGATAACACTTTTATCTTTGTGTCATCACTCAGTGTACATCACTCAGTGTACATCACTATGCTGCATGGACAAACTAAATGTCTTTTGTCTGAACAGGATGTTAGATGTTAGATCAACTTTGCTTCAATAAGCTCATCATTATATCGTCATGAGGATTGTCACCGTTTGGACAGTGGAAAGTGCTGAAAGATTTATCGCTGTTCGAAAATAGACAATACCAGGAAAGAGATCTCTGTCTCTGGGCGTATCCATTCTTTGTGTCCCATCTGTAACCTCTGACTCCAAACCTTCCATACACTATGACTCACATAACCACATCCATGTTTCAGACCATACTCCTTTGTCCTGTCCTCCCTGTATGTACATAGAGGACCCTTTTCATATATCACATATGAACACATAACCTGTATTCAGTTCAGGCTTGAAGTGAATAGACTGTACGTTGTCTAATAAGAGGCTCAAAGCAGAGATAAGTTTGAAGACTTCAGGAGTTCACTATTTAAAAAAAATACCTTGTCTTTTACCAACACAACTGGTGTCCAACATAATGAGGAGTGTCAACACAAATATATTTTTGCTTTTACTGTTGCAAGCCTGAGAGCTTTTGTCACCATAAACCTGAATATTGGGTTTTTTCCATTATAAATTAAGCTGTTTTCTGAACATGTGCATCCAGTTTGGATGTAACCAAATACCATCAATGTTCAGATTTCCAGTCCGGTGTTGTGTCATAGTGTCTTCTTTAAAAGTGTTAATGAGACACAGTACAGTGCAGTACAGTACATGAGTTTATAATAACAAAGATTTTGTCACAGTGAGTCTCTTTAAAACACCAGGAAGTGTGTCACTGAATAATTGTGATGACTCAGGATTTGACATTAACTCAGAATCACAATCGTCTATTGATAGGCTTTCTCTATCGCTCATGTTTCCAAATTTCACTGAATTGGGTTAGCGCCAGTGAACTTTGTCAGAAAGAGTCACGCCTCCACTGGTGAGATGAAAGCGCAGCAGCAGCCTATGTGTAAATATGCAGTCCTCAGGTTGGGAAAAAAAGGGGAAGAGCATAGGTCCAATAGAAAGTGAGCGAGGCAGAGACTTTTCAGGAGCTGCCGTCTCCATTCTTAGTCTTGAGCACCACAAGGCTGACCATGACAGGGATCAGGCAGATGGGAGTTATGACCAGGGCGAAGACGATGACCGGCGGCGGGTCGTTCAGCTCCTCTGTGGGACAATCCTTGAAAAACTCGGCATGAATGTTCACAAAGGTCTCTTCCACCAGAGGGTTGGGCCATGGGATCAAGAGACAGTCAGAGATGTCTTCTGTGCAGAGGCTTAAGTTACTATACAAACTGCAAGGTGGAGACAGGGACAGTATGGAAAGTAATTCAGATATTAGCAAAATACTTATTCAATATTTTGAATGTTAAAACTGCATAGAACACATGCAACTTACCCTCTCACATTATCCCAAATGCACCAGTCAGTGCTGTTCAGTGATGCCATCGCGCTCTCAAAATTTCTGAGACACAGATGTCTTGACAGGATTGAAAGGCAAGCCATTGTTGGAGCGCCATGTAGTTCATTACAGAAGTTGCAATAGTGCATACAACTGTGCGAAATATTCCCACAAGCTGCATGAATTGAAGAGAAACACAAAAAGAAAGAGAGGAGGGGAGGGGGAGTCAAAAAAGAGAGAGAGACAGAAACAGATTAGATAATGACAATAAACATGTGTTGCACATCTTCAGATCTCTTAGATTCTGGATGACTGTTCACAAGATTACACAGTGTGGTTATAAGGTCATGTCACCTACCAAATTTCAAGGCAGACTCTCCGTAAGTGGCGTCTAAAAGGGAGAAAAATCAGGTCTTTAAATTAAAAACATTAGCAAAGTAGACTATTGGCAGTAAACCCCTCTTCAAATCTACAGTGTAAGCCCTCTCTAATAAAGTTCATTAATAAAGTCATGCATCCAAGACAAATTTCAATACAAAGAGAATTGTTGTCTATTGCAGCTCATGAGTTCCTTTCACATGTCTAGCACTAAAGCAGGCATTTGCAGCTGTAGAAGGGAGACCACACACTCACCGGAGAGAAAGGAGAGGAATACCCCAATGAAACCAAGTGCTCCCTTCATGTCAGAAAAAATGAATAAAGGTGCGCTTTCTCCAACTGATGACCATGTATAATAAACCTAAACCTCTTAGACTGTGTACAGCGAGGCATAACAGGAAACCCGGCAGGATGGAAGAGACGCAGTGTAACCTTCGGTTACCAGATGTCCAAACAGTGTTACCCGCGGTTACCAGATGTTCTTCGAAGATCTGTCTGACGGCCCTGCGCCTTGGCAGCAGCTCTTCCCCTCTCCAGCACACGTTTCTTTAGGATTTTCTTCCTTTTTTAAAGGGGTGGAGGCAACAAAGATTGTCCTCTCCATTCTCCCAAATAAAAGGGAGCACACCCAAGCTGGGCTGGACTCACATCTGAAAACCCTTACTCTTTAACTCTTGTTCTGCTTTTTAGTCTCAGTTTCTCACAGTCGAAGGCCTGGCCAGCTCACAGCATGTGATTTATTTGCCTTTTGGGCTGCCTCTGCCAAATAGGAAACATAAGTAAACATTTAGGGCTTAGCGTTTTGGGGTGGATGTAATCATGACTCTGCAGGGTGTGCTGTGCAGACAGCCATGATTTCATATTTAGGTTAATTTGACCAAACCTGGAACAAGTTGTTGCTGACCAGCTGTTTAAAAGTCCAACCGTCTTTACACCCACATGCCAGTAAAGAAAACAGACAAAAAAAAAAGAAAGAGTGTGGGAAATTTTTTGTTCTTTTATGCCACGAGGAGCGCATGTGTGTGTGCTACATCTGTAAGGTACTTTCTCTCTGTCACTGCTCACCACTTTAAAGAGAAGTGAGAGAGAGCTGCTTTCATTGACTGAATGAAAAATGGAACGTATGGTGCATGTTTTCTCACGACCAACTTGTGAATTTGTGTCACTGGATCCACATGTTGGGCCTCTCACAACATCTGTTTGCCGAGCAGCATTTTGATTTAGTAATGACATCAGGAAATGTGTCTTTTCAGCAGAGGAGGAGCTCAGAGTTGGGGGGAGTTGGCAGGGGAAGGAGGGGGGACAGTCAGGGGAAAGAAAAAAAAAAAAAGGAAGGCACAGGATGAGGAACAGTGAAAGGGGCGCTGCTCCAAAGTTCCAGTTGTTTCACAACTCCGAGTTCATGCGTTGATCACAGACGTTGCATGGGGTGAATGACGAACAAATACAGGAAGTTGAGCCAGGTGGGGGCTGCTCATAATGAGGTTTCAGTTAACCTTTAACCCCAAACCATTATGGACCTTTTGTCTACTGCTGTTGACCCCTCACTGGTAGAGACCTCCCCAGGAGTTTGTCTTGGATTCTCAAGATAATACACACAAGGAGATCTTGGCAGAAAACAGGATCTCTGAGCTCTGCTTTCTGTGTTAGTCAGTCCAAGCAAATGAGAGTAAGGAACTGTTCCAAAGCAAGCCCCCAGTTGACACAAACATATATTCACTATTTGAAACTGTAAGATATACATACATATATAAAATGTAAACAGGTTAATGTAATTCTGCTAAATTAAAGTAAGATTAAATCAATATCTACCCATGTTCAGAGTTAATTTGCTATACAGATCTGCAGTTGATGGTCTATGATAAAGGAAGCTAGAAAAAGATTAGAAGATAAACTCACTAGCAGTCATCATGTCTGTTGAGTGATACTCTGTAGAGAGAAGACGCTGGGTTATTCAAAGTGTTTATGGTCATCCATTAGATTTTTTTTTTTAATCTTTCATATACCTGTTGTTGTGGCAGGTTGCACAACCAACTGTTCATCTACCAGACCATCCACTGTTGTGCATCCTGCTGCAAGAGAAATTCCAAAAATGGGAGAAATTAATATTTGGAATAAAGAGGAGAAGGAAAAGAAATGCTGCGATTCAGAGCAGGAATTGATATTAAGCTGAATTATTATAGTATATACAGATTTCAGAACTTGTGAAAACAGAAGAAGTAAGAGGAAATGACAAGGAGTAAGCTGTATCTTTCATTTGTTGGCCATTGCTTCTCAATATGTTCAACTCAAGGATATTGAAACCTACAATACATTCCCTTCCCACAAGGACAAATGATCTTAAGTAATAAATAGAAGCAACAACAGCATGACCCGCAATATGAATTAGGTAATAATTAAGTAACAATCTAATGATAACATTCTCAAGAATTACTACACCACAAAAACCTTTTAGCTGTCATGTCGTGATCAAAATCCCTCTGTGACCCTCAAACCAAACTGTTTTAAGTATAAAACTCCATCATGAGACTAGCTAAGCTCCTTTCTAAAAGCCACTGTCACTGAAAGCCCCTCAGCATTCCTCCTGAGAGGTGAGACAGAGGGCATGTAAAGAAGCTATACCATAGATTAAGACAGTGTAAATTTCTCTACTTACCCCAGATGAGAAGAGTCATAAAACACCCAGAAAACATGAGTGAGAAACTGGTGGCTGTCATGTTGTCTGACACTGCTCTGCCTGTCCTCCCTGGTGGGCAGGGATTACATATCTCCACCTTTGTCCAGGAAGCCTCTATAACACAACAGGAAGCCGTCACTTCCTATGATGGGCTGATTCACACAACAGAGATCCTCTGATGAGGTTAGAACTACTGTGCTCCATTGGTGCAGCACCATCTCTCTCTCTGGCTCTCTCTCTCTCTCTCTTTATCTATTTCCTTTGCTCATCCCACCCTCTATTTTCAAACAGAAGGAGAGAAGGTGGGGAGAGCCCGACCTTCTCTCTCCCCACACTCTCTCTCTCTCTTTGTCTCTACCTTTGACTTTGATTTTATTATTATTAATACAAGCAATATTTAGACATCATTTTTGAGTTCACACAGCACTGGTTTCATGCTGTTATTTTAATATGTGACAGCTTCTTTTTTTATGTTTCGCATGTTTCTCTTGAATGGAAACTTGGAACAGTATTTTTGTGCTGAGTAAATGTTAGCACCAGGAGTTGTGAAGCCAACTCACAGCCTGAGAGAGATGCATGATCGTTAATCATGATCCCAAGGGTTATTGCTACTAATTTGAGATTTGTGGGGGGTGGTGGGGTGTAACCCAAAAGTAGCGATTAAAAACCATGTATGATATTTTAAAGGTGTACTCCACCAAGTTAGTATAGCACTCCTATCAGTTAAAAAAACAAACCATATTTCACACAGCTCCCACAGAAGGTGTTATACAACTTTATTCACATATGCAGTAATACTGTCCAAGATCTGTAACTCTGATGTGTAAAACTGGTGGAGTTCCCCTTTAATTTATCATCATTATAGAAACTACATTTTCAAAATTATGACTTCTGTTTCTTGTTGTCACTGTAGAGCATAAGACTTATTACATACGACTGGCTGTGAGTCAGAAATATGTTTTGTGCTGCGTTACACCATCAGCAGTGTGACCCCCCACCCCGACCCCCCTCCCACCACCTCTGCGTCTGACAAAACACTGAGCTTCTGTGGTAATGAGAGGCAGCAGGGATCTCCAGTATCTCCAGTAGTACTGATGCACTTGTCCACGTCACTGAATGGCGAGTGCTCTTTCTCAGCTGCCGGCGCTTGGGAGAGAGCCAGGTAGCTCGGGGCCAAAATTGCTTCCACATTTCATTTCATATAAAGGAGGCTGCTGTTATTTTTTTTATGCAACTGATTGAATTTTTTTTTTTTTTTTGGAAAACCCCACAAATAGAAGCTTAAATATACCATCTGCATCAAATTTGCAGTGTGAATAAAGATAAATAGCTGAATGGATTTTCCTGCAAGGAAGTGCACAACGATTTTTTAGTGTTCTGTTTTAGGAAGCCAGAATAAGTCAAAGTTTGCTCAGCATGTCTTTCTTTTATGAATAAATGCTTCTTACATCAGTTACAGTCAGTTAATATTTAAAGAGGTAACTATTTCATCAGCTTACTTTGTGAATCTTTTCATCAGCAGGCCTTTGTCTCAGATCGTAAAAGCTGCAACATATTTTGAAGAGTCCCAGTGACAGCTGCCAAGAGCCAAACACACAGTTTACACTATACACAATTAAATACTTCCTGGTGATAACTGTCTCGCTCCCCAAGCTTATCGCCCCTCTCTATGTTTGCTATTGTTTGACAGTTCACTATCAGTGTCGGGCTACTTCAAATACCAGTGTAGACACACCAAACAGGCTGTATCATCTGAGATACTTTTGCTCACTGGATGCACAATTAATTGCCAGGAATGCGCGGCATAAACAGCAGAACCAGAGAGCAGCAACAACGACTACAACAACACAGTGATCAGAGTCTGTCATGTTTGTATCGCACGATATGAAACCACAGTGTGCCCAGCCAGGTTTCTTGATCCAAATTAGACATGTATATGAGAAAATGTCATGTCACAGGATGAAAAGTAACTGAACAGTGCCATCTTGTGTGTCAGAGAAGCAGCATTCCAGTGCTTTCCTTTACTCTCTGAAAGGTTTATTTTTTTTAAGAACTATAAACTAGTCAATGGATTAGACGGCTGTAAATACAGACAGAATAATAAGAATTCACATCTTTACAGCTTGTGAGATATGACATAGGATTAAACTTTACAGTACAACCTACATTTATGCTCAGACTGACATTTGACTAAGTGAATAAATAGAGCCATGTTTTTAATGAATATTTTAAGGGATGTGTCTTTGTCCACCGGAGCATCAAAGATTAAAATAACAGTTTAAAAAAAGTTAAGTATACAAAATAGGTCTGTCTTCCTAACCATAACATCCGCCCCTTTACTTTATAGCCATGGAGTCTTGCGTAATGACACTCTGTCTGTGCCCAAAAGTATTGTCAAGTCATGCCTCAAACAACCTTAAAATATGTTGTTTGTTTTCTTCAATGTATAAAACTAAATGTCAGATATTTCCCTGGGTAATATCCTGAAGAACAGGAAAAAGTTGTGCTAGAAATTCTGTTGTGAAGAGTGAAAACAGATATGTTCATCATCAGAGCAGCAACATTTCAAGCATGAAAAAACACACAGTACATGACTTTAGTAAGCAGCACTTTACTTTAACTCCCCTATTTAGCATTTGTAAGCAGTATGAGAATGTAATAAATGGTGGAACAACAGATAATTAATGACAATACATTCAAACACATTTATGTCCCAATAGCTACATAAAAAAGGCGATTGTGTTATAAACAGCAATTAAATACATGTAATGAATAGACTGTTTCTGAGTGCTTAATAGGGGAACTTAAAGATAAGTAATTATTTTTAATTAGGCAGCCTATAGGCTCCATTTAGTGGCCACATTGTAAATTAGGTCAAATCAGGAAGTGAGATCATGTGTGCTCTACTGATCTGATAACAGTGTAGTTATTTGATTAACTACAGACTTACCCCCTCGTCTTTCACCAATTTCACTTTCACCACTAGATTTAAATAATTATTGATAAATTTGAGAAACAAACAAGACAAAAACACCCATCGTCATGATTTCAACTCATAAGTTCTTCCGATTTGTATTTTACGTGAAGTACGTAACAGCATCAGTGGCCTGAGGACCATCACCCAACCCTCGCTCGCTCGCTCGCTCGCTCACTCACTCGCTCTCAACACGGAGGATGAACTGAGTTGAGCTCTCCCTGGAGGAGGAGTGCGGAACAACAACTGGACTGTTTTCCGTCCGACTCAGGTCCATTGGAATGTGAAGAAACTGTGGGCCAGTTTTCAACCTTTAATTAATCCGCTTTAATTCTTAAATTGGCGCACGTTATTTCAACGGCAATCTCTGCACTTTCAAGGGAAATACGCATATTACTTGACTTTTCCGGTTTTGTGAGTCGTCTTGCTATTTCAAAAACACACAAACAAACAAACAAAAAAAACAATAATATTCCTGTGACATTGTTTATTTGTGTGTCTGTTTCACACACCAATGACTTTGCCTCACTGTATTTTCCATTGCTCTTCCGTGCAGGTTACTGCTGTGAATAAGCTAGAGGGATTTTTTTTTTTAAGCATTGCATCTATATGCCGACCATGCAGTGTTATTGCATTTAGATGGCGATGTAGCGCCGTGGACAGTTGCATCAGTTCCTGTGCGTGCGTGTAAACGGCTGTGCTGTGGCTGCTCCACGCTACTTTTTATTCCCAGGACGCAGAATAGTAATAAATCCTCCTCTGCCTGGAAAGGCTGTGATCATAATAAAGACGTCACCCTCCTGCTCGGGTTGGCTCAACCAAGCCAAGTGCGCAGCTATTTGTAAGCTACAACAACAACAACCACCACCACCTCCACCACCACCAGCACCATGCCCGTGGATAACGTAGTGATTTCTCTGAGATCCCCCCGCCGACCGGAGACGATATCTGCGTCAGATCCATAGTAAATATACAGCCTTTATTTGCTCCGGATCTCTCCACTTAAAAAAAAAAATACAGAGAGGGACTTGATCGCCTTGCAGGCTCTTGTCGCAACAAATAGGACGCAAGACGTGGATTTGAAGGTATTTAATAACTGCGACACTGGGTGTAGAGGTAGACGTGACCACGGGTCCGTTAGAATAATGTGCTGTCATTGTGGTGCTCGTTGCGCACGTCTTTAAAGTGTTCCACATTTAAATGGATACTGAGTAGCTCTGTTTGCACGGGTCTGCAGCTACAGGACGTAGCGCACTTCATAGCTGTGGCTGAAACGTGTGCACGACTCCAGGAAAAAAAGAAAAGGCATGGTAGCAGTTTCCCGAGCTCAGTTTTGTCTTCGTACTTATTTTCGATTGTGTTTTAGCTCGGACAGGGAAGTTGATGTTCACTAAGATGCTTGTGAAACACGTAAAAACTGTACTACGCACTTTTTATGCTCCGCTTCATATTGCTTTTCTGAAGAGGCACGCCCACTCCCGAGCAATGTGGATGCCCCGTGCTGTTAGATCCGTAGACACTTTGCGTATTCATGTGCACAGCGTCAATTTGTTCGTTATTCGGTTGCAACACATGGTAAAAAATAGAAGCTAAATGCAACAGACACTGAACAGTTTAAAGCACCTGTGTGGAAGGCTTTTTTTTTTTTTTTTTTTTTTTTTTTTTTTTTTTTTTTTTTACATTAGATGTTAATTTTGTTTTGCCAACAGAGGGGGGCACTCTTTCAAACAGACTTCCAGTAAGACTGAAAGGGGAAGTTTTATGTCTGTGAGAGGCAGAGAGGAGGGGGGGGCATGTAGTACTATCTGCAGCCTATATAGTAATAAGGCTATATAGGGAAATGAACAGGAAATGATAGAATGGAACAAAGCATATCACACCAAAACTATCTATCACGAGCATACTAATACCTATTAATTGTATTATAGAGAATTATTGTGATGGAATAGGTGTTGAAATAAATTCACTACACACTTTGTAAAGCCTTGTAATGTTATTTGAATTTACTACAAACTCATTTTTGACCCAAAATGCAATAATTGTCCTGATAGTTCACCTTCTGCACACCTTTGTGCAATTAGAATCTACTCTCTGTACACCCTGTACTCCACTGATGTTGGACTGGTTCATCACATAGGATCTCTGTCATGGAGGAAACAGCTGCTGCAGACCCAGCCCCTGGCACCAATGCTGCCCCACCAACCCCAAGACCACAGCCGTCCTTCTTTGCCCCCTCCCGCAGCCTGCTGGAGTGGAGACGGAGGGTCAAGTCTGAATATATGCGCCTTCGCCAATTAAAACGCCTTAAAAAAGCAGAGGAGGTCAAGGTGGGTCAACTCAGTTATTGACAGGTGTGCTAGTAAATACATTTGGGGCTTTGTGCTGTATGCATGGTGTGTGATGGGGACTTGTAGTGGGTTCGTGTTGTATATGCAGCACTCACTGTGCAATTTTTGTGTGCCTAGCTGCATGTGTGACTCGCTCTTTGCTCTGTTTGTTTCCAGACCCTGTTCATGTCCAACAGACAGAAGATTGAGCAGCAGACAAATCTTCTGAACACAGAGTGGTCCAAGCTCAGGATTCAGTCCATCCCTTTGTCAACTTTTAGTGGAGCTATGGCCAGCAAGAAGGTTTGTGTGTGTGTGTGTGTGTGTGTGTGTGTGTGTGTGTGTGTGTGTGTGTGTGTGTGTGTGTGTGTGTGTGTGTGAAGGTAATAATGTCTGTTGCAAAACAAAATTTTATACACCATCCTGCCTGCACAGTCTAGGCTCTGGCCTCATACTCTTTCCCCAGCTGTTTTGCCTCACCTGTCTACTTTTATTATTATTATTGTGTGAATGTGTTACTAAAATATCTCAGGACAAAGGCGTGTGCCAGGAACGGATCAACAGCAGCCTAACAGTCGTCTGTGGCCCTATGGGAGCTCATGATATGAACAGCCTGAGGCCATAACAGCAACTTTCTCTTCCCATGTGCTGTCGGGATCTGCTATATTGTGTTTACTGGGTTTATTTTCTCTGTTGGGGGGGTGGGGGTCAAGCAGCATGTGTATTAAATTACAAAGATATAAAATAGTCCAAAATTGTTGAGGATTGTTGTAGCGTCTTGTCAACCTCAATTCACGTATGGTTCTCTTACAGATGTGTACAGTGGAGTTTGGCTTCCCAGGGTTCAAAGCTCAAGCCATCGCCATGAGGCCACTGTCAACAGTGGCAGGAATCCCCTTCATGTACTCCTGGTCGCCTCTGCAGCACAACTTCATGGTATGAAACAAATCACATTGTGTTGCAGGTGATGCAGCGACAGTGTTGTTACAGGTGCAAGAACAGACGTTGTGTAATATTTCACTCATTCGCCCGATTCTGATATAGAAAATATTCATGTGTTCGGTGGAGACGGACATGTTCCCCCTGTGAGCTGATGGAAATTCTTGGCTCTAGGAACATCTAAACCAGTCATCAAGACACATTATCAAACTAAAAACAGGACATTTCCCCTTTGTTCCAAAATAGCTTTATTTTGTAAATATGTACTTTTCATCTGCAAAAGGTGATATGGTCACAGCACGGAGACAGTTTCACACACTGTTCTTTGTAGCACAACCTGGTTTGCGTTAATTTTGTTTCCAGTCCATTTGTGCACGTTTGCTGGACTGTGAAATCCTCATAAGCAGGACCATGTGAACATTTTGTGAACTCTCTGCAGCAGACTTGTGGTTCTTGCTTGTTGCTTTGATATTTTCAGCTGTAGCTCCTCAGAAGTATCACAGGTGGTCATGCAGCATTCAGGCAGTCACAAATGTGTTTTGATGGGGATTTGTGTGTCCTAGGTGGAGGATGAGACTTTCCTTCACAACATCCCCTACATGGGCGACGAGGTGCTGGAGCAGGATGAGGCCTTCCTGGAGGAACTCATCGACAACTACGATGGTGTTCATGGTGACAGAGGTGTGTGCCCCATCATAGATCCCTGTTATCCTGTCCCTTATTTGATGCCAATCTGATATACTGTATATCAGTTCTATTTTTTTATTTTTTTGGAGGATTTGGGTTTATTATATGCTAATGATTCAGCTGGAAGCCTGTGGAAAAGGTGTTGACATTTGTTCTGATGTGTTGATTGTGTTCCAGAGGGTGGTTTCATCAGTGACGAGATCTTTAAAGAGCTGGTGGAGGCCTTGAGCCAGTACTCTGACCACGAGGAGGAGGAAGAGGAGGAAGCAGTAGCGGTGGTGGAGGCGGCGGCGGTGGCGGCGGCGGCGGCAGCTGCGGCTGCAGCGGCGGCTGCAGCGGCGGCGGCAGCGGCGGCAACGGGGGAGAAGGAGGAGGAAAGAGTGATGATGAGGAGGAGCTCAGTGGAGGGTTCAGAAGAGACCAAAGCTGGGACTGTGGCGTTCATCAGGAGGAAGAGGAGGAGCACAACCGAGGGTGAGCAAGTCCTCAGCTGTTTATTTGTGTCCTGTTAGAGAACAAGAGGGCTGCAGCGTGAACAAGGCCGCCACTGTTCCTCTCATGACACTGTACAGTTGCCACAAGGTCGCCCTGCCGCAGCAGCTCTGGAGCTGGTGTTGTTTACTTTAAAGCTGCCCCGTGTCCCTGCATGGGTACTCTATGTGTGTGTGTGTGTGTGTGTGTGTGTGTGTGTGTGTGTGTGTGAGGGAACCTGTTTATCCATGACACTGATATGGCTCAGGTCTAATGACAGAACTTAATGACCTCTTGTACCAGGCTTTATGGCAGACTAGGCTGTACACACACACTCTGCCAACGCTTAGTGATAGTGAAATGGAAGCACACCTGGGCACACAGTCATTCAGCTACAGGTACACAAACACATGCATGGATGAAGGCTCCGTGAATAAAAGATACTGAAGAAAAGACTGTTCTCATTACGTCACGATACTGACAGAGAATTGTTTTCAGAGCATGTTGTTGCTAACTGGCCTTGAGAACTGGGAAAACTTCTGCTGGATTGCAAAATGTTTCAAAGAACATATTACATAAGCTTTGTTTGTGACTCTGTATCAAAACCTGATTTGTGGACAAAACAAACTGTAGTCACTGTCTCTCTCTCTCTCTCTCTCTCTCTCTCTCTCTCTCTCTCTCTCTCTCTGTCTCTCTCCCAAAGTGAGGGACCTGTGCAGCAGCACCAAGAAGATCCCCAATGATAAGATATTTACAGCCATCGCCTCTATGTTCCCCTACAAGGGCACCACAGAGGAGCTGAAGGAAAAGTAAGAAAAGTGAAGGGAAGCCGGGGATCTATGTGCACAATGCTGAGCAGGCCGTTGCTTAGTGTTCACCATGGAGACGCAGGCTGTCAGGGAGGAAAGTAATAATGGTGGCTCCCTCTCTGAGGCTCTCTGACTCAAAGGAGGAGTTGCATCAGCATCTGAAAGAGCTTTGCTCAGAAAGAAACATGTACAAGTTCGCCCAACAACAACTTCAAATGAGCATACTAATACTGAGGCACGAAGGCGTGTCATGACTAAAACTTTCCCTGTCACCTCAACAGGTATAAGGACCTCTTGGAGCCCCCCAACCCGGTGAAGCTGCCCCCACTTTGCACCCCTAACCTGGATGGACCTTTTGCGAAGTCTGTGCAGCGAGAGCAGTCGTTACACTCCTTCCACACACTCTTCTGCAGACGTTGCTTCAAATACGACTGTTTCCTCCACCGTAATGGCTTGATTTATGTTTATTATTATTTCTCCTGCATATTCATTTCTGCTTTAAGTGTTGTACTTACTTAATTGCATCCAGTTGCTAACTGCTAACGACCCGACACACAATATGTCACAATTGTATATTATTTTCCAATTATATCTATATATTGTTTTCTGTTCATAAAGCTTTTCATGCTACGCCCAATGTTTACAAGAGGAAGAGTAAGGAGATCCGCATGGAGACGGAACCGTGTGGTGTAGACTGCTTTCTGTTACAGGTATGCCAAGCTCACAGTTACGTAACTCATTCACACATTCTGTACAATGCCGTACTATGTTGTTCTTCCCATCCCGTGTCCTCTTCTGAAGAAGGGGGCTAGAGAGTTTGTGGATCAGAACATGTTACGGTCACAGAGGTCTCGGAGGCGACGGAGGCAGCAGCGTCCCACCAGCTCCGCCTGTCCTGGACCATCTGGGTCTGCCGAGGAAGGAAAGGAGGGTGACAGTGACCACGAGACCACCTCCTCTTCAGGTAGGAATCGAATCTCACAGGAATAGGGTTTGGAGCTACTTTTTTAAACCACCAGTTTTATCTATGGCTTAACATCACTATTATGTTAGACAATGTATTCAGAATTTAGCAATGTTATTTAATAAAGTTATAGTAGAATATTGGCTTTATATTGCTTATAATGAACAATTTATTGTTTTGAGAGTTCCATTTTCTGAGCTGAGCTAAAGTAAATGGTTAATTCTGGTAATGCAATTAAAGCTTTGTGCTCTGAAACTCCATAAAGTATAGGCACAGTTACTTGTAATACTGACACTCTGAGTCACTGTATGACTGTGCAAGTGGATGCATCATTTACCATAAACACCCCCCCCCCAACCCCCCCACCCCCACCCCCAATTCCCCCTTGTATGGAATGCTGTCTGCGCCGACTGCAGCTCTTCACAAAAGTGAGATTTGGCCAGAGATGATAGCTTTCAAGTCATATCCTGCTCCCTCTTCTGTCTCCCGCCTTCTTCAGCCCCCTCTCAATATCAGCTCTCTCTTGCCAAGCAAAATAAAACAACCATTAGTTTGCATGTTTCAGCCCCAACATAAACACTTTGTTCCCTCTCCCCCTTCTCCTACTGTGTTTTTTTCCTCTCTTTTTTTGCATTTCTATTGACATCTTCATGTGGAGAGCAATGGGAGGGAAATAAGAGCAATCTCCCCTGAATCTTTATCGTCCCTCCTCCCCCTCCCCTAGAGCTCTCAGGTTGTTGTTCATCTCCATCAGAGCCTCAGTGGAAGTCTCTGTTAGTTTTGGAAACCGCTCACGCTTAGCCAATGACTCAGCAGATGCTCTCACACGTGTTGAGATAATGTGGAAAAAACAGATTGTTGAGCAGATTAATAAAGATACTCAGTGGTAGAGCATGCGGCCACAGCAATGCTGCATTCAGCCTGTTGCCAAGCAACATCCGGCTCTCTGCCTGGAGCTGTGGGTGTACAAGCATCAGTCCTGAATATATCCAAAAAGCTAAATCAAAGCCCATGGTCCCTTGTGTATGTGTGTGTGTGTGTGTGTGCATCTAAATACACATAAAATGGCATCCAGAAATAATAATGTGTATCTGTGTTGGGTTAAAATATCAATACTGGTGTGTGTGTGTGTGTGTGTGTGTGTGTGTGTGTGTGTATGTGTGTGTGTGTGTCTGTGTGTCTGTGTGTGTGTGTGTGCAGATAAAAAGCTGTCAAAAAGCTTTTGTCAATACCAAATAATAGGAACATGTTTGTATGTGCTGCTCCATGTGTGTAGATTAAAAAAATATGAAACAATCTTTCTGCCAAGATTAGTTAGTCAGTAATACTAAAGTGTGTTTCTGTGTGTGTATCTGCATGTGTGTGTGTGTGTTGTGTGTCTGTGAGACAGAGGGGAATTCACGGTGCCAGACCCCTACCAAGATGCGTCCAGGGGATGATGACAGGGAGCAGCAGGCGTGCTGTGTGGTCCAGTGGAGCGGGGCCGAGGAGTCACTTTTCAGGGTGCTACACGGCACATACTTTAACAACTTCTGCTCCATCGCTCGCCTCATCGGTACCAAGAACTGCAAGGAGGTGAAATGTTTGCACATTTTACAGTTTTCCAATCTCATCACATTTCCTCTGTCACCATAAGCAGAACATGCTACACTGACTTTGCTGTATTCATTCAGCATTAAAACATTTAATATGGTCTTACTGGCAAATAATGATTCATAACTGTGACAAAATGTGGCTTAGATCTAAACAAATTCTGTTTTTTTTAAGTTGCTAGTTCTCAACTGATTTAACATTACACTCTTACAGCATTGTTAGATTCTCAATGGACAGTCAAAAATCAGATATCCTCTTTTTTATTCCATGCATTCTCCTTCCTTTTCAAAACCTGGCGCCTACATTACCCACAATGCAACTCAACTGCCAAAATGTCTGTCAGTGATTCAGGTGTGCTATGCTAGTAGCAGCTGATGTATCTTCAAGCTGCTAACCTCAGGCAGAGATAAGGAGCAGGTCTGTTAAGCTGACGTCTTTTCTAATTCCAAATCCCCGTTTTTTTTTGTTTTGTTTTTTTTCTTGTTTTTTTCATTTTCAATTTTGTAGTCTTCAGACCCAACTGAAACTGACTCAAGTGACATCACTTGAGGCAAAGACTTGAGGCAGCTCCCTCTGGAGCCCCAAAAAGCTTTATAGCGCTCCCCAAAACCTGAAAACACACTTTGATGTGTAAGATCGGCGGAGTTCCCCCTTTAAAATGCCACATGCTGGAATGAGAAAAAGGCAGGAAGTGGATTTCAAAAAATCCTCAACGCTTCAGTGGAGCAGAAAAGAAAAAAGAATCACATAAAACAAGACCATAGAAAGAGAATGGTGGGGAATAGGAAATAGAAACACGAGGCTTTATGAGAAAGCACAAATAGTAAAAGTAGTACAATTGTGAGTTACAGGCTGCTTCAACTGTTGCTTACCAGTTATATTAGCTACACAATGTAGTTTTAAATTTAAAATAATGAACTATGACTAACACTTTCTGAAACTGATGCATAGTTGTTTTGAAATAAGTAGCGTTGCTGATTTCTGTTGCATTTGCGTCAGTGCAAGTGTAATAACACATGCATCCTGTGCCTGTGGTTTTATGGTGTGGATAATTGGGCTGACAACAGAGAGAATGGCATGTGGCACCATAAACAGGGATGCTTACCAGATGTAACGTCTCTCATATACTCTTCGTGATGCAGTAGTTCAGCCTTAGACATTCCCACACTCATGTCAGTTGAGTCATTGTCAAGTCGGCTGTGGGGAGTGGGTTTTTTTTTTGTTTGTTTGTTTACTTTTGAGCACAATGCACCAAAGAAAGAACAGGTAAACCAAATCTTGATCTGTCTGCGTCATGTTGAAGCAGCCTCACCCCTTTACATCCAACCCTTGCAGTGCCTCTCGTCCCACGGCCAGACGAGTCCAGAATCTGCACTGGCCTGTCTGTCACAGCCCTGTATCCAGAAGGCCCTGCCCACTGCTTAATCGAGTAAATGCTAAAACCAGCTGCATCATTATGTATGTCTGTGTCCTAGGGAAGAAGCCAAATCTGGGTTTTGGCAGCCAGAGGTGGTGGAGTGTGTGTGTGCAGATGTATGTGTATATTTGGCCCCTGCGGCGGTGGTTTTGATAGCAGAGGATGGGGGTGGGGGGGGATCTGTGGTGTAATCGAGGCGATGTGCTTTTCAGCTTGAGCAGCAGTACATTACACAACATGGTGAGGGTGAGGAGAACAGAGTTTCTTCACAATTGTCTACTTTGGGGATAAATTTCCATCCATGTGTTGCTGTTGTCTGTGTCGTTTTCAATCTCCCCCAGGTTTATGAGTTTGCAGTGAAGGAGGTCTTGATCCATCGTGTTCCTTTGGAGGACGGAGGCATCTCGCCCCAAAAGAAGAAGAGGAAACACAGGCAGGATATCACCAGTTATTCTCCCTCTCTTGCCAACCCTTTGCTGAATGATGGAAACATGATCTCTTGCAAAAAGGGAGCTTGGCCTTCAGTGAAACTGAATAGATGAAGGTTAAAATAAATGAAGTCATGCAGATAAAAATGTATTCCGCAATGCTGCATGTGTTGATCTTCCTGTCACATCTAAATATTTGTCATTTAATAATCCATCAACAGTGATAAATGTGGAACAAGTCAGATGACTTTTTAACTCGAACCCTTTTTCCTTATGTTTGTTTGCGGTGGCAGGTTATGGGCAAAGATTCAGCTGAAGAAAGGTACGTTCATCCCACAGTAAAACATCACAGTGTGACTATTACTACATTGTGTCCTCTGAAATACAATACAGCTTACTGTGCCAGTCTGAGGGCTTTGTCCTCTGTTGCTCCAGATAACACATCCAATCAGGTGTACAACTACCAACCATGTGACCACCCTGACCATCCATGCGACAGCTCCTGCCCATGTGTGATGACCCAGAATTTCTGTGAGAAGTTCTGTCAGTGCGAGCACGAGTGTGAGTGTCACCTTTTTTTTCTTTTTTTTCTTATTCACCTGTGTCACCAATCTCTACCTTATATGTTTTCCTCTTCCTTACACAAACAATAACACAAAAGCAGCCTGCTCTGCCCCGTGAAGCTAAAAGAAAATTATTTGTCACCACATTTTCCACTGGAAGCTCTCAGTAGCATTTTTTTTTTTTTGCCAGGCCACAATAGAGCAGGGCGGCAGAATGGAAAATGATTCTGCAGTGTTCTGGCAGTGGTCAGAGGAGAAGCCGTCCTCTGGCGGGGATAGGTGGGTGTCTGTTTAACGCAGAGCTGTGTTCACAATGAGGCATTCGCTGCTGCAGCAGCAGTGACCCAAAACTGTGTTTTCCAAAATGGCCACATGGTGGAGGAAAGCATTTTGTATTTTGGCCTCTGGAGAGTTTACACCAGAGGAGGAGGATAAGACGAAGTAAACATTTTGCTATGGTTTGAAAAACGATGGTTTTGCCTCATTTATTCATCAGTTGTGGTTCAGTCACCCCCTCCCCACCCCCACCCCTCCCCCTCCTCCTCCTCCTCCTTACCCGACTGTTACCTCGCCTTTTCCCGTAGCTGAGGAGAGCCGGGGCCAAACAGGAAGCAGACCTCGGTTTGCACATGTGTGTGCTCTAAAGACTTGGAAAGGAATCAAAGGGATGTGACAGGCTCTGTGCCTGATATACAACATCATCTCCAACATCAGTATGAGTCAGGCAGTTCTAGCTAAACAGTGTTTGATGATACAGACATATAAAACCCACACAGGCCGGGAAAGGGAGCTTAAAACGGCACGACAGGGGAAGACAAACGCTGCCTGGAGCTCTTGTTATGGACAGTTTTCCCCAAGCAGAGGCTGCTGGAAAGACATTTTGGTTATTCCTGCCTGATCCTTCCGCTCATCTGCCCAGAGGGTGTTATGTTTCACTCTGCAAAATTGTATTTGAGCATATCTGCCAGCAGAGGTCTCCGATGAGCTTCTCAGCATTACTCAGCCACTGAGCCTCCATGCTGCAGCTGCATTTTGAGATGGAATTATTTATCATAATCATATTGTGTTCTGCCAAGTTATGTAATATATTATATTTCTGCATCGACGCATGCAGTTTTGGCCATAAACCCTCTGCATGTTCCCCCATCTGAGCAGCTCCATGTCTAAACATTTTCTAGGCCAGAACCGCTTCCCAGGCTGCAGGTGTAAGACTCAGTGTAACACCAAACAGTGTCCCTGCTACCTGGCCGTGAGGGAGTGTGACCCAGACCTGTGCATGACCTGCGGTGCTGCGGACCACTGGGACAGCAAGGTGGTCTCCTGCAAAAACTGCAGCATCCAGAGAGGCCTAAAAAAGGTACGCAAAGACACTTAAAGGACCCGATAGATAGATAGATAGATAGATAGATAGATAGATAGATAGATAGATATTTGTAATCTGTTATTCTGGATACAACTTAACTTTAGATCACTCATATGCTACTTCCCCTTTAGCACTTGTTGTTGGCTCCATCAGATGTCGCCGGGTGGGGCACCTTCATCAAAGAGCCTGTTCAGAAGAATGAGTTCATCTCAGAATACTGTGGCGAGGCAAGTCCATGCAGTTTAGTCTGATTAAAATGATTTGGTTCATGAGCTGTCAGCTTGATTTAAGTTTTGTGTTTGTTATGAATATGTATGTGTGTGTGTGTGTGTGTGTGTGTGTGTGTGTGTGTGTGTGTGTGTGTGTGTGTGTGTGTGTGTGTGCGTGTGCATGAGCAGCTGATCTCTCAGGATGAGGCAGACCGACGCGGCAGGATCTATGACAAATACATGTCCAGCTTCCTTTTCAACTTGAACAATGGCAAGTATTCCCCACTCCTCCTTTAACGTCACCTGCCCACCACTCCACTGTAACAGTATATTAAGCAATCCTTAATATACTCTGTGTGTATGTCTCTCAGCAGACTTTGTTGTGGATGCCACACGAAAGGGGAACAAAATCCGCTTTGCAAATCATTCAGTTAATCCCAACTGCTACGCGAAAGGTAAAGATGACTCAGTTGTTCTGCTGTGAAGGATGAAAGCAGTGTCCTGTTGGCTGATGTTTTGTTTACTGACGTTGCAGTGGTAATGGTGAACGGAGACCATCGCATTGGAATCTTTGCCAAACGAGCTATCCTGCAAGGAGAGGAGCTTTTCTTCGACTACAGGTAGAGTCACGGGCCTTTTTGTGACTCTACAGCAGCTTCAAAGTAAAAAAAAAAAAAAAGAAAAAGAGACAAGGCCACTGTACATTGTGCCTGAATTATCAGTCTCTGCAGATACCGTGTACTAACACTCTTTACTTCATCTTCTACCCACAGATACAGCCAAGCCGATGCCCTAAAATATGTGGGGATAGAGAGGGAGGTAGACATGACTTAGCTGCACCTGCTGCCTACCTCCATAACCTGCCCTTAACTCCTCAGCCACCCACTAATGCTTCTGTCCCTCTCTGCAGCGTCACATCTAGCTGACGAGTTTTCTATGAACAGTCACTGTCTCTGCCCTCTCTGCTGCACTTCCAAAAATAGAAAGTCCCTCCGTGCTGTTTGCAGGTGCTGCCGCTCTGCAGACTCACCGTACCACCTCCTTCAGTGACAGCCGTCAGCTCTCCCCCCTCCCTCATCTGTCCGAACCCACCCACCTACCTGCAAGACTGTATACGCCAAGCTTATGAAACTAAACTATTTAAAGTGGAAATACTATTAATCCACATTGCACATTGTTTTTTTTGTTTTTTTTTGTTCCATCTTGTCAAAGCAAAGAGGCTGCGATGCAGTGTGTTACTCTCTCAGTAGTTTTGTTACCGTACTTATAGACCGGCTTTTGTTTGATCTCTCAATACATAATGCAAGCTTCTCCATCATACCTAACGATCAGTGAAATGCATGTGCTGTTGTCTCTTGGATAAACAGACCATTAAACATGTTAGCCACAGCATTAGCTTCAGTCAGATGCTGCTTTGCTCTGAGCAGTCACTCAGTATTGTAGTGTGATGTTACCCTCTGGTTGTTTTTTGGAAGAACGTGACCAGGTGTGTTCCTCTGTGAACCATCACCATCACATCTCTATGGTAAAAATAAGTTATTGTGCATTTATATCATTGTTCTGCAAATAAAATTAAAAAAAATAAAAAAATAAAAAATAGGCAACCAGACGAGGAACCGACTGACTGAATGTAACCCGTAGATAATGGTGAAGAGATCTCATCCCTCCTTTGGTTTTTACTCATCAACTCATTCCGTTGGTACTCTGAGCAACGTACACGCACATCACAACATTTCTCATCATGTTTACATGATCTTTGAAGCCTTCACACTTTGTGAGGCAAGTAATTCACAAATGAGCGAGTCACATAGTAAATGTCTTCCTTGACGAATTGTATAAGTGCCAAATGTTTCCACGCAGAAAAAGGCTGACACAGTGTGGATGTGTTGCATATTGAACAGGTGTGTTAAAGGTAACTTATAGCAATGGGAAAAAAACAAAATTATCAGTGTATGACCAAATATTAAAAGTCCCCCACATGTGAATGTAAAATATCATTTAACATCTTTTCTTTATTTTTATATGTCCTGATTTGTTACTCACTCTTTCATTTATAAAACATTAAAGCCCACTTTGAAATGAGATCTTTCTCAATAGAGATGAACAAAAATGGAGTTTACTGCTATGTACAGTGTATGCCTATAAAAATAAAACTTTAACTTTATACATTATAACATGCTGTCCTGGTCTTTATGTGTGTACTGTGTGTACTGCAAATGAAACAACACGTCAACAGTTTTACTTCAAGCGTCTTTTATTGAGGTGACAGGTCGGCTTTGCCTTGATTCACACAGTAATGGTCATATACAGTGAAAGTATTACAAAACAAAATCGAGCGAGTTACTGAAGAACAAGAAGAAAAAAAAAAACATTTCTAAATTTCAGTGTGGTCACAAACACAACTGTAATCATCATTTCTGGTACTTGTTGCGGAAGGATTCAATTTGATGGTGCAGAGGAGTCTTAACCTGGTGGAACCGGCCCACTCCTCACTCTGGTGTTTCATCATCTGACTTCATAAATGATATCACTGTTGACCGGGTATCTGCTGATTTATATGAACAACTGTTAAAAAGTCTTAAGGCTTTTATAGGTACTAAAATCTTATAATATGTGTATAGAACATGACACAAGATAACATGCAAATCCTGAACCTAATTCAACTTTATCCCCCTTTGAATATGCTTTCCTCTTAAATTTAAATTCTAAAGTTAATCTTTAACCAACATTTAACTCCACTAAGCATTAAACAGCACTCAGTAAATGTCACATTCTGCGGAATCAGCAGATACCCTGTCCGAGCTAACAACTTCCTGCTGGTTTGCTCCCTCTACTGGTCATTTTAATCCCTTTTTACCCCACACCATTGCCTCCATTAACAGGAAGCAGGCTGCACACTTCCAAGATCAATTCAGCACAGAATCAGTGTGTTTGTAATTTCACTAAACACCACAGAGGAGCCACACTGAGCTTCACCCAGGCCTTGTTTCTGTTTCATTTAATACCGTTGGTGCACTACAATAAGTGAGCTGGATAGTTGGCATCAGTGCACATTTGTTTGCTTGTTTTTTTTGTTTTTTTTGATCAGTCATTATGTAACATCGGTAAGTTGTATCTCGGTGGGCACAATACACAAACACTTAAATATCCAGTCAGTCACACACATACACACACTCCAGGGACCACGCATGAATAAACTAGTGAGTTAGTAATGAAATGACACTGCTAGGCTGAATCTTTATAATTCATTTACCAATGAATACAGTAAGGTGTATACATTTATATAATACATAAGTCGACTCTTCCCTAATAGGCAACAAAGCATATTGGAGCCAAAGTTTTTGGCTTGCACCTAGTATGAACTTTTGAGTGGTGATTGTCCATTTAACAAAAACATAAACTTTTTCTCTGTATTGATCAGTTTCATTCTGTTTGCTCACTTTTCATTTTTCATTCATCTCCTCTCAGCACATTCTTAAAAATATAGCCTGTAAGTGCCAGCTTTGGCCAAATCTGTACATTTTCATACATTATTAGCAAGTCGTGTCTTTATAGTAATTGCAATTCTCTTTTTTTTTTTTTTACATCTACTGTACATTCTGTCTCTGTACATTTTCGCACAGTCCCGTCCATCTGTAACAGAGGAAAACCAACAGTGTTGAGTTTTGGAGTTGTATTAGTACTACAGAGAACAAGTGCTGTACTTTCTTTATCCTGAGCGTTCTTAAAAAGGTACCATGAATAATTTTACTTTCAGTGCTGAAGCAGCCCTTCAGTGAAAACGGGTCTCCACTGTAGCATCTGCTCATACATTACAGAGTCAAAGGAATTACATTCAAAGCACTCCATTCATCTGAATTGAAACCATAGGAATAAAAAAAGTCGCTTAATACATTATTCGTATATTCACGTATACACTCATTACATACTATTTGCTATTATGCATCTGCAAATTAAACTGAAACATTAACATCATTGGAGGCTGAAAGAAGCTCATATTATTGCATGTTACTGCAAAGTGCACTCATGCTCTACATATGCATAGCTAATATGTTGCAAATGTATTACTTTTTCCCCCCCTTATTTTTTCACATACACAATAGTGCTTTAGTGGCAAGGACAGCTGCAGTGAGGGATGATAGCCCTAAGCTTTGGTTGCAACATACATCAAATGAAATTTCCTCTTGCCAGAGAAGAAAGTTTCATTGGACTATAGGTAGAATTTTTTTAAACTTTCCACTGGAAGCAGCTAAACAAGCAGCAGTGGCGATGACAGAGCGGTTGGCTACTGTCCTAAAGCGTTATGCAAAAATATTCGAGCAGTGAGTTAGTGAGTCTTAAGTAAAAGATTAGCATTTACACTCATGTGGTCCTCTGTACATATGTTATTGTGTGTGTTTATATGAATGCTTCTCCACAGGGAAATAGGGAGCAGCTGTTTCCTGAAATATGTTTTATTTTTTTATCATTGGGAGATGAAATTATTGTGAGAAGACTGGTTCTTTTGTGATGTTATATAATTTGAGAGATGTCTGCTCGAGTCAAGCGCTCTGTGGCACAGAGCTCCTGGCAGCTTGGCCATAACCTAAGTAACCAGAAGTAAGACAGAAGGAATGATAACTTGGATATTTAGGTCACCCTGTCCCTGGCGAGCTTCATCACATTGACTTTCATTTTGACTCTGCAGTACACCAACACCAGACTGTTAGCTCACACACCTGGAGGTACGTCTTCAAATAATCACACTCTCACCTTCTGAAGCCTTACCTGAGAATGTGAGCACACTGTGATCGGCAAAGCTGCTATCTACTGACACTATGGCAATTTTTAACCACTTACATGTGCCATTCTGTATAGGTAATGCACTGTTATAGGCTGCAATACAACAAAGAGAAGCGTGTATACCTTTTACAGTCTATATGTATCATCTCAAAGCTTAACATCTCAAAGCTCCATGCTTGTCAGTTTGCTCTCTCTACGGGTTGTTTGTTTTCATTCACGAACACCAGTTTTGTATTTATTTGGATTTTTGTTGCACTGGTTTAGTAGACCAGCTCACATATGTGCTCACTGCTCAAACCCAAGCACGGATCATGAGTTTACGGTGTCGAAAATGGCTCCATGAGAGATTGTCATCAAAAGGTATATTTTAGATGGCAATAAATCTATACAGTAAGATATAGCTGTAGCTTTATCCGTTCCAAAAATGGCTCAGAAAAGAAATCAATCAATAAAAGTGTGAGTAATTTAAACTGATGTTTGAACTGTAATTAAACATCCTTTAAAATCCCTTCTCCCCACAGTGTCTGATCTAAACCCTATCTGAATAAGCTATTGTGGTTGCTTCAGATCAAGCTTGCTCAGATGAGGCACTTCAGTATTTCACCCTGCAATACAGCGTGAGACTTGTTGGCTACTCACGCAACATGGGGCTTGATTTGAACTTTGAACCCAGCAAAACTAGAACTTACCAAAATACATACTATGTAGAGCACCAGACATCAGATCCCACTCAACCGGGGGAAGGAAACACAAACCAAAATGTAAAAAAAAACAAAAAAAACAAAACAATTAGAAAACTCAATACAGGTATCTGTGGTTGTTGTAAGTGCTATTTCCCTCTGCCCAACCACCTCCCCTAGTCAAACCCCGCCCACTGTCCCATAGGTCCTGTGATGCTAGTCACTCCTGAACTCCTCTTCAATTTCTGGGAGGTTCTTCTTTTCTCTCCTCAGGGTCTCAGTCAGTGGCCTCGAGCTGCTGGGAGACTCCAGGTTCTTGGGTTCGTTGGTGTGATAGCTGCCCTTCTGCTGATACGCGTAGACATAGATGCTGTACAGGCCTCCGAAGAGCAGCAGTAGCGCCAGGATGACAATGACTGAAAGATAAAAATAGCACAGTCAGAGTTAATATGCAGCACAATGGGGGAAGACAGAAATACTGGTGAGGAGCAGGCTCTGTATGACTGCTTTTATAATGCTGTATTATTTATGGAGTTAGATTTGTTTCAATATTATTTCTGTGAAATGATGAACAATCTGTGCATAAATGTGTACTCTGTAAATATAAAACACCTTCCAAAGATACAAAAAAACCTGGAGATTCACAAAAATATCTAAATTAAAATGAATTTGCAAATACACTAACAAATTCCACAAATAAATGTGAATACATTCGATTCATTTTAAAATAAATGAAAAGCATGTGAATATCTTCCTAACATTTATAGACATTTGTGAATCAATTTTATATTTGTGAAGCGAAAAAGAATTTGTGGATCTAAAATGACTTTTATACCTTATTATACTAAGACATTATTATGCCTTAGTATATTGTGACATTTTGATGCCTTACTTTACTATGACATTTTTATTCCTTACTATATTACATTGTTTTTATGCCTTACTATATAATGAGTTTTTATGCTTTACTATACTATGTCATTTTCTTTGCCTGACTATACAATGATGTTTTATTCAATACTATACTATGCAATTTTATGCCTTACTATACTATGAGTTTTTATGCTTTACTATACTATGACATTTTTGTCATACTATACTATGACTTTTTTATTTCTTACCATACTATGACTTTGTATGCATTACTATACTATAACATTTTTGTCATACTTTACTATGACATTTTATGCTTTACTACATTACAACTTTTTATGCCTCACTATACTATGTCATTTTTTTGCCTGACTATACTATGACTTTTTATGCCTTACTATGCTATGACGTTTTTGTCATACTATACTATGACTTTTTATGCCTTACTATGCTATGACGTTTTTGTCATACTATACTATGACTTTTTATGCCTTACTATGCTATGAAGTTTTTTGTCAGACTATACTATGACTTTGTTATTTCTTACGATAGTATTACTTTTTATGCCTCAATATACTATGACTTTTTTGTTATACTATACTATGACTTTTTATGCCTTACTATGCTATGACGTTTTTGTCATACTATACTATGACATTTTATACCTTACTATACTTTGACTTTTTATGCCTTACTATACTATGACATTTTTATCATACTATACTATGAGTTTTTATGCCTTACTATACAATGATGTTTTATTCAATACTATACTATGCAATTCTATGCCTTACTATACTATGACATTTTATGCCTTACTATACTATGACTTTTTATGCCTTACTATACTATGACATTTTTGTCATACTATACTATGACTTTTTTATTTCTTACGATAGTATGATTTTTTATGCCTTACTTTACAATGACATTTTTATTTCTTACTATACTATGACTTTTTTATTTCTTACCATACTATGACTTTGTATGCATTACTATACTATAACGTTTTTGTCATACTTTACTATGACATTTTATGCTTTACTACATTACAACTTTTTATGCCTCACTATACTATGTCATTTTTTTGCCTGACTATACTATGACTTTTTATGCCTTACTATGCTATGACGTTTTTGTCATACTATACTATGACTTTTTATGCCTTTCTATGCTATGACGTTTTTGTCATACTATACTATGACTTTTTATGCCTTTCTATGCTATGACGTTTTTGTCATACTATACTATGACTTTTTATGCCTTACTATGCTATGAAATTTTTGTCATACTATACTATGACTTTTTTATTTCTTACGAAAGTATGACTTTTTGTGCCTTTATATACTATGAAGTTTTTTGTCAGACTATACTATGACTTTGTTATTTCTTACGATAGTATTACTTTTTATGCCTCAATATACTATGACTTTTTTGTTATACTATACTATGACTTTTTATGCCTTACTATGCTATGATGTTTTTGTCATACTATACTATGGCATTTTATACCTTACTATGCTATGACGTTTTTAAGCCTCACTATACTATGACTTTTTTATGCCTTACTATACTATGACTTTATGACTTACTATACTATGACTTTTTATTTCTTACTATAATATGACTTTTTATGCCTTACTATGCTATGACATTTTAGTCCTTACTATACTATGACTTTTTATGCCTTACTATACTATGTCATTTTTTTGCCTGACTATACTATGACTTTTTATGCCTTACTATGCTATGACGTTTTTGTCATACTATACTATGACTTTTTATGCCTTTCTATGCTATGACGTTCTTGTCATACTATACTATGACTTTTTTATTTCTTACGAAAGTATGACTTTTTGTGCCTTTATATACTATGAAGTTTTTTGTCAGACTATACTATGACTTTGTTATTTCTTACGATAGTATTACTTTTTATGCCTCAATATACTATGACTTTTTTGTTATACTATACTATGACTTTTTATGCTTTACTATGCTATGATGTTTTTGTCATACTATACTATGGCATTTTATACCTTACTATGCTATGACGTTTTTAAGCCTCACTATACTATGACTTTTTTATGCCTTACTATACTATGACTTTATGACTTACTATACTATGACTTTTTATTTCTTACTATAATATGACTTTTTATGCCTTACTATGCTATGACATTTTAGTCATACTATACTATGACTTTGTTATTTCTTACAATAGTATTACTTTTTATGCCTTAATATACTATGACTTTTTTGTTATACTATACTATGACTTTTTATGCCTTACTATAATATGACATTTTTATTTCTTACTATACTATGTTTTTATGTCTTACTATATTATGATTATTTATGCCTTACTATACTATGATGTTTTATTCCTTACTGTATTATGATATTTTATGCCTTACTATACTATGACCTTTCATGCCTTTCTATACTTTGACGTATTTCTCATACTATACTATGACTTTTTTATGCCTTACTTTACTATGACTTATGTATGCCGTATTATACTGTCCTTTTTACGGGTTGGTACAGTGAGCAAGTGGTTAGAGCTGTTGTCCTACAGTGAGGTGGTGAGTTCAAACCCCTAGTATGGTGTTTTTTATGACTTTTTTTTTTGACCTTCATTTTTTATGATTTACTATACTCTGACTTACTACTCTGACTCTACTCTAGTATGACTTTTTATGCCTGACTATACTTTGACGTCTTTATGCATTACTAGACTAAAACCTTCAGATGAGTACATCATGGTACAGCAGTGGATAGAACTGCTTCCCAACACTGAGAAGATTCTGGGTTCAAATCCCGGGCCTAGGGTCTTTCAAAGAAATGCACATTAGGTTAATTGGTGACTCTAATGCCTTACTATACAATGGCTTATTTTATCACTTACTATACTACAACGTTTTATTCCGTCATTTTTATGCCTTACCTTACTATGACCTTTTAATGCCTTACTATGCTATTCATTTTTTTTGCCATAATATACTATGACTGGCGGAAAGTTTGTTTCAAAACTCTGTGTGTGTAGATTTGAGATCCACAAATGCTTTTTTTCTTCACAAATAGAAAATTTATTCACAATTGTCTGTTTGAAAGTTGTAATTGTTAGGAAGATAGTCACAAATACTTTTAATTTATTTGTAAAGTAACTGAATGTATTCACAGATAATTTTTTTATTTGTGGATTTTGTTTGTGTATTTGCAAATCCCTTTTATTTTTGCAAGATATCTTTGTGAATTTGCAAATTTCTTTTTTGTATTTGTGGAAGGTGTTTTATATTTACAGATTACACATTTACGCACGAATTGTCTATCTGTTCACACAAATAATATTTAAACAAATCTATCTACATAATTATTGCACAATATCAGTGGGTGAATTTAGGTCAATATAATAACCCCATTTTCACCCTCCTGTAAGATCCAATACAAGATTCAAAATAGGCATTGAGTCCAAACTGCTCACTGAATTGTTTTATCAGATGTCTACTGTGCCTGCAATATCCTTTGTGCTTTGTTTTTTGTATAAAGTTTGTTGTTGCACTTCACATCCCAAAATTCACTTGTCAGTGACACACATAAGCCTGCACTGGTCTTTCTCTTCTGTCCCTGTAGCTGAGTTTTATATCTGTCTGCTCAAGTCCTTGGTGCTGATGCTACCCAGTCCCTTATATTTTCATTTCGTTTTGTTCAAGTTAAAATTTAATATCCCTCTCTCTCTCCTTATGTTTCCCTTCTATCTCTTCCCACTGATTCTCAAATAATAGAATGATGCACAAATTTTAAAACATCATAGTCTGCTGGCTTTGTAGATGGCCATTAAGAAATCAGCATCCAAAATGAGTCCTCAATTTGTACTGTGATTGCTTTTCTCACAGACCTCCTGCCTCTGAGCATTGGCACTCACAACCAGAAGTGTTCTTTCTTGCAACATGATTGCTCAGTAGCTCAAGCTGCTGCCTTACAGCTGAAGGCTCAGACCTCAACCCTCATCCTTTCTGAGTGCAGCTTTAATGTGTTTCCCCCTGCATTTGCTTGGGTTTCCTCCCACAGTCCAAACAAATGCAGGTCAGGCAAACTGGAGACATTAAATTGCCTAGAGGTGTGTGTTTGTTTGTCATTCAGGGTGTTCAGTGTGTAATGGACCTGCAAAATGGCCACAGTGTTTCTTAGCCTTTCTGCCAATGTTTACTGGCAAAGGCCTCCGCCCCTCAATAAATGGGTACAGAGCATGGATCGATCCTGTTGATGCTGCTGATAAAATATAATATCTGGTGAGCTACAGTATTCTTTTTTTTTCTGGGAAAGCTATTCTGTGACTAGCATATTGTTTAGAGCAGCAAAAAAGCAAAAATGTTACTTAAACTGGTTTTGTCACAGGAAAAATTAAGAAAAAACATATGCCCTGAGTATCATCTGACAGAATTTGTTCACCAGCACAACATTATCAGCTACATTTAAATCAAAGTTGTAATTTGTTTTTTATTCTGAGCGGTACATCAGACAGGAATGATGTCTGATAACCAGTGGGGAACATTGTTGGGATGCCTGAACGGTGTGCTAATCTTTAATGACACGCTGATGTACCGCATTAGCATAATAGCTCTGAAGCTGAATGATCTATTAAGCTGAAGCATGTATCAATGATGAACAGTGAGCTGGGCCCATGCAGACTAAATTTAGCTGATCCGGTAAAGGTCTCAGACAGGGATGGAGCAGGGAGCTCTCTGTGCTGCACTTTAATCCTGAGACTCCAGCCTCAGCTGCTCATCAGGAGGACCGGCTCTAATTTACTCCGTCATCTGTAATACTGCGCTGCAGACAGTTCATCTGTTCTCAACACACAACATGTCCTCATGTAATAAGGTGTGATGTTATCATGGGGATTAAAGAGATGAAGGAATATATTAAATATTAATGTTTTCCAGAAATCTATAAGCTTCAGTTTCATGCTTGTTTGTGTAAACTCATGGCTTTAACATACTCCTTTGTGTGTTTAAAGGCAAAGTGAACAGGCAAGTAGAACAGAAATCTATATCTATATATCAAAAATATATATATTATTTTATATTGTACCGCAGACCCTCAAATTATATTTATCTTTATATGTCTTTAACCTAATTGTGCTATTGTTATTGTGTCATGATTATGGTGTTAAAGAATGGAGGCTTAATGTACTGTTCAAGTTATTGTGCTCATTGTGAATTATCTGTATCTGAATAAGTACTTCAAACAAATGTAGAAATGACTGATAAGTTAATAACATAACATACAATAACATAACATAACATGGCTCATATATTTCTTGCAAAGACAAATTAGGTCACAGTGCATTAGAAATACTGTTTATTTTTCTATGAGTTAGTTTTTTCAGTTTTGTGCCACGTAATAGATTTGAGCCTGCAGCCAGACGCTTGAATAAACACTCAAAAGCCCACGTTGGAATCTGACAACCCTGCTCTAATTTAGGATTAGAGGATTTTAGGAAAAAAGGAAAGAACTTCAAACTGATTTGTCTCATCTGGGACAGGGGAGGGAGTAGTGAGTAAAACAGAAACGAGGGAGCAGAGCAGTGCTTCAAAATAAACTGGATAAACTGCTAAATGTCACATCACTGGTCTTACTTTTGAATGCAGCAATTCAGAAACATGGTAGATATGCAACATTTGTGTATTCAGGGCAATGTATGATTAAGTGTATTAGAGTACAAGGAAAAAAATGTAATTTCACCTGTTATCCAAAACAGGCCTAGGTCATCGTGGATATAAATATACTCTGAAAGAGAGAGATACACAGTTACGTGGCTGAAGAGAAACCACTACTCTCTTCATGTATGAATACATTATGGGACATACATATAAACTCACCTATGCTGGTAAACCAGGGGTCTACCTCCCATGGTACATAACCCAGAACAGGAGGGAAGGCGCCACAGTTGGACTCAGAGACATAGCCTTGTGTCGTTACCGGAGGGTCTGTTTCATTTGGACGGAAGAGGGCCTTTAAAGGGGCATAGACGTTGTATCTTACCCCAGATATGCAGCCTATGAAGCCTGGAGCATTATGCCTCTGGATCTCATAGTCGATGTCACCAACCTCTGAAGGAGCAGACACAAAGAACAGTTTGTACTTTGTACTTCAAATAAGTAATGCATGAATAATACTGGCAGCATCCTCGCCGACAAGCGGTAAATTAGACTTTTACCCATCACTCTGCCGAGGAACATGGACTTCGGAGAGTCAAACCTGGCGTCCTCCACTAAGGTTATCTTTTCCACTATAGGCTCCATGTAATCCACCTGTGGGCAGATTAAAATCATCATTACAGGAAGGGAAGTGATTCATGAAGAGAATGTATAAATGGCCATAACACCACCAACAGACCCATTTACACATTTTTTTTTTTATGTGAACAATTACAAAAACAGAGCTGCTTCTCTTTGCCCTAACTGCATTCTAGAGATTCGATATGAAGCAGCTATTATATTATTTAAAAGGATAGTTTGACGTCTTGGGAAGTCTTCACAGCAAGAAAACAAATGAAACAAAAGAAATTTGTGGATCACAGTTTTCTTGTAATTTAAAGAAAATTTGGATAGGTTTGTTAGTTGGACGTTCTTAGCTGGGTGCAATTCTTCATGATTTCACTGAAAATAAAATAAACCATAGATCAGAGTTTACACAGTCACAGTGGTGAGAGTACAAACCTGTGTTTTGATGGTTCTGTTGTGTCTGGTGATGTTGACATAGTGGGGATATCCATCTGCCAGGTTTCGGTGAGTCAGCTGGTACTTGTGTGTTATGAGCCCCAGCTTATACCTCAGATCTACACTACCTGTGAAGAGAGACGCAACAACATACATCAATAGCATATACTGTTTGCTGCATTACATCAATGAATGTTTTTGTGAGACTGAGTAGTCTGCAATCCAGCAAATTTAATCCTACTTCAGAAATTAAATTGTTTCTGAGCCTCTCCTACCGTCAGTCTTCAGGATGATGGCGATGTAGTCCTGAACGAAGGAGCTGATGTAGAGCAACACAGCTGGTGTGTGGACAGTGCTGAAACTGAACTCTATGTCATCTGCTGTGTCATTGTAGCCGAGGCTAAAATTGTCGTAGTGCGGGTCAATCCAGTTGGCCCATGCTGCTTCGTCTGATATGGGCTTCTTTCGTATGTTGTACCTCATCCATGAGCCAATCTCAAAGTAGGCGCCGATGTCTTAGAAAAGACAATTGTGGAATTAAATATCTACATCTGTTTCAAAGTATGGCTGCACATGATGTCAGTTTCTAAGCTCAGGATTCATCTAGAAAAACATGTCTGAACTCACCTTTATGGCAGTAGAAACCATCAAAGGCTGTGTTGTTACAGTCACAAGTATAGGAAGCGTAACCCTCAATACACTGGCCGCTGTTTCGACATGGTATGGTAGCATTGAGACACTGTCCTGTACAATTCCTCCTTATACCCTGTTCTTCATTTACTTTCCCCTCTAGATCCAGAGGAACACCGTTCATCCGTAACCCTCGAAGACAACCCAAGAACGGTCTCAGGGTGCGGTTGGCTGATCCTGATACAAAGAATACTTTTATCAGTGGTTGATCATCTTCCATCAAAGTTTAGAAGACCAATTAAATGTTCTTTCAGTCATGACAGTTTTAAGCCTCCAAAGTCTTTCAGGCAACCTACCTACTAAGAGAGGATGAGTAAACTTCATGGTGACAAAGGTCTGACCCGGGAAACGTTTCACAGCCCATGGTTGATAATCAACCTTGATCCTGGCCAGCTTCACATTAATCTCAGCCTGAACAAAGTGCCACTCATTGTCATTGAGTGGCACAATGGAGTGTAGGGTGACATTAATGATGCCGTCACCAACCATAAATACAAACGCAAGGTCATGGGTGGCTGGAAAAGGAAAGAGGCTTTAGTGAGAAAAAATAATTACAAAAAACTTGCAGTATTTCTAAGACAAATCTATCACTTGTATGAGGAGAACACTTCCCTGCCTCCAGGGGAGTCAACTCACAATTGAGCTCTATCCGTATAAAGTTTCGAAGTTGGTCGTCAGAGTTCTCCAAGAAGACACAATTGCCACGATAGGTTTTGAAGTGGAAGGAGATGTCAGCGCTGGATCCGGGCCTGAAGGTGGGGAAGGTTATGTAGGTGGGTTTGGTGAAGGCTATGGTGTTCCAGATGTTTCCTGTGGGAAGCAGTTGAAAAACATGTTGAGAAAATCGACTACCAACCCTTCGAACAACACTGAACACCACTGCGCGAGCACAACCCTTTTTATTTAAGCTTACTGTCGCCATGGCAGCGGAGGGGCCCAACAGTGAACTGTGCTTCTGAGCCGGTCCTGTTGGTATCCCCGACCACCACCTTCCTCACAGGCAGATGATCTCTAAAGTCCAAGTAGCCCTTATCTGAGAACCTGAGAAGCCACAGTTGGGTTGATGTTAAAAGGTCAATGTCACAGATACAAGCTAAACCTGCTTAATGTGTCTTTCTCTCACCATTGTCTATAGTCAGCATCACAGTGGCATTGAAACCTGGGGTCGGTGCAGGTTTGGTTGATGGCACAGCCACACTTTTGGACCTCTCTGAATGTCCCACCCCAGTAATAGTGACTCTCATTGTTGCGACCAATCCACCAACCGAAAGGTCTTCCATCTATTTGGAAAAGACATGATGTGTTAGTGCATCCTTGAAGTTTCCTATCTTCGTTGTTCTCCATTAGCACACTACTAAAATTAATAACCTGACTAATCCCACTTACTGGGGGTGTTGAGGAGACGGGACTTGTAGCAGGAGTAGTCGATCCACTGCTCACAGTACATGGAGGTGTTGGCCAGAGCAGTGACTTCATCCCAGGTGGCATTCCAGTAGTTGACATCTCCAATATATGGCCGGTCTACTGAACTCCCAGTCACCTTGGTACCATCCACTCGGTCATGCATAATCACTGTCCAAGCTTTATAGGCTGCGAGGAAGTGTGACAGATATAGGGCATAGGGTGGGCAGGATGATAATGTAAGAAAAATTAAAAGAATGAAAAGCAATTTAATGTCTGATAAGAATGTCAGAAAGACAGAGTGCTACTAAAGAAGAAGCACAATTTTCCAACACACATACACACACACACACACACACAGAAACAGCTGGACCTATCTTGTTTGACGAACCCTTTTAATTTCCCATGAAACTTCACTAAACATTACTCATTATAGGAGCACGATAACCTGATGTCTTGCTTTTTCATCTTTTCATTAACAACCCACAAAGGATCTAGCAAGCACTTAACACATCGCTGATGAAGCTGTGTTTTGTTGCTGACAGTGCTTGCTTACACTTCATTTTGCAGTACACCTCGAATGGTTTCAGCGGTCCACTGAGATCAGGATCGATGGTGTAGTTTCCAGACCAATACTTGCCACTGAGTCTGTAGGCCTCGCATGACTCTTTATAAACGGCTGTTTGGGGAGAGAGGTGAGATTTGTTATTATTAGGGAGAAATATCGCAATGGGCCAGGTGTTATTAACTGTGAAGAAACACTTATTACAATGTCGAGCCAGCACTTACACATGTGACACACTTCTCCTTTATAGCCTGTGTTCTCACAAAGGCAAATAAAATCATCCCAGGACTGGATGCACCTGCCTTCATGTTCACATGGGTTCGGAGTACATCTGTAAATGGAACAGATGCTTATACTGAGTATTTAGATGTTAAAAACGTGAGAGACTTACATAAGTGTGTCATTTTCTTTCTTTCATTTCCACATTCTCGCTTTTCTCTAAAAACGTTCGTAAAAAACATTTATACAGGGTTTATGAGTCTCACAATACAATGCCAAGTGCCTCACAAACATCTTGAATGAGATCACATTACTCTAGCTCAATAAAACAGCCAATAAGATACACCAAGAATCATATGATATACCCAGTCATCATACATGAAATAACGTAAGCTGTACAGCAGATACTGCATGTTAAGTAATGTTTCCTACCTGTCAGTGATGCCACAGGTTCCTAACAACAGCTCAGCATAGCGTCCCCACTGTCGTTGCAGAATAATGTCGATATCAAGCTGCTCATTGTCTATGAAGATATGCTGCATGCAACCATGGAAGCGGTTCAGCTTGGTCTCACACTTCCTTATAGTGTTGTTGGTTTGCGGACAACCTGAGTGCAAGGAAAAGCAAATGTTGTATGAACGTAACAGCGCAGATTAAGGGTGCCTGTTAATTTTTTGCTGTCAGCAGTTGTTTAAGTCATCAACCACACCTCCAAAAAAGTAGCGGTCCCCCGTCCGAATTGTGAAGGGGTTGGTGATCTTCAGCGGAGAGCCCTCCTCCTCATCAATGGTGAGGGTCAGCAGGTTGTCTCTGGCTGCCAGATCCACGGAATGCCAGTAGCCGTCATTGAGTCTGTATCCTAGAGAGTGGAGAAACAGAACAGAGATCACATGCACAACGCACAACCTTCATCTGGAATTGACAGTTCGCTAAACCCTGTCATAGCTCATCAATCTGAACTAGACATGGCAGGTGTATCGAGCTTTGGATTTCTGCACATGATAATACACAGAAACACATATAGCAAGACTCTGTCTACCTCTGTCTGAAATCAAAGATGATTTTTTTTTTCACATATTATTGCAAATTGCATATATGCCCTGTGAAAATGGAAAGTTTGAAAGAGCGGCGCTTAGTGAAGCATTATGAAACTGTACGTTCCAAAACCTTTTCTGTCAATGCCATGACTTAGCCCACCTGCAGCAAACTGGAGTTTCTTCTTTCCAGGCTGGAATATAGTGACGTTGATCTGTCCCTCACTCAGACCCAGCTCGAGGGCACCGAGGTCGTCAGCAAAGCGTGTGAACATTAGCAGCCCTGTGTAGTCCCAGGAGCGGAACTTGAACTTGACAAACATACGAGGCCTCCTGAAGAAGCCCGGCACCTGCAGGTAGTTGTTGGGCCCAGCAAAGGTCATCGGCTTGAGGAGAATGTCACGGCAGGCGAAATGCATCTTTTTCTGAGGGTGAGAAAAAGAAAATAGAAGACAGATCATTGATTTTGGTGAAACCATCATAAGATCATAGGAGACAAAAGACTAGAATGCTGGTTTGTATAATGTCCTACCTTTCGCGGGATGCGAATGTCTGGCTCTTCTCTCTTGGCCTTGTCGATGATGTTGATGCCATTGATGAAGACGTTCTCCAGACAGCCCCGGAAATTTGGCGTGGTAGGGAGGTGAGGCAGGTTTTGCTCTATTACTCCTCCTACATACAACTAAGAGGTACCAAGACAGTCAGTTAACTGAATTCATATTCGTTGATATTAATATAACTAAAGGAGGATAATTAACCCAGATGCTAAGTTACCTGCTTATCCAGATTGAGGTAGGTAAACTCTCCATTGCAGATGGCTGTCACTGTCTGACTGTCCACTGTGAAGTTCACCTCTCTACCATAACGCTTGATGGTGACATAGTGCCAGTGCAAGTTATCGAGAAGGCTGCCAGCAGTCAGTGTAGTACGGCCATTTACTTTGTGCACTACACTGCTTCCTAGAAAACAAATGGCAAACACAGAAAGTGCTCAGAGCAGCTTTTTCACATCAAAGTTATTGTAGGGCTCCAGCCAACAACCTAACAAGCAATATTGATCTCAGGGTTGAGAGAAGCCTGCCTCTTTCTGAGATTGATGTCACCGTCACATAAACCAGTATTTTCTTTCTTCCCACAACTGTGGATCAAAATCCCTTCCATAAATTCAACTTTAAGGGTGTCCCTGTGGTGGCTTAGGAAATGAGGTCCGTCTAGTCGGGGACCATTGTTGCCCCCCCCCCCCCCCCCCCCCCCCTTTCATTTCCTGTTTTCCTCTCCACTGCCCTTTGCAACAAAGGAGCGCCCAAATACTATAAAAGATTTCCAGTGTATTTACGACTCATGCTGTACCAAGGCTGATATGCAGATAGAGACGGCCCTTCTTCAGCTCCAGGGTGAAGAGGTCTCCCTGAATCCCCTCGCTGTGCAACAGCAGACCGTCCTGCTCCAGAGTCTTGAAGTTTATGGCGATGTGGTCGTGCAGTGTGCGCGACCTCTCCTCAGGGTACATGTAGACCACCGAGTCATCCCCGTTGTACTGTAGGACATAGGAATCTGAAACACAGAGAAAATTTCAAAATATATAACTACAAATTTTAAATATTGCCCATTTTGTATTGAGCAAGGTGCAACCTTATGTAGCATTTATTGGGATTATCTGATTTTCTGCAGTATCTCGTAGGTGTTGGCATTTAGCTAGTGTAGGATGTTCTCAAGTAAGAATCAGGTGATTCTGAGCTTAGTCATTTATTAACTGGGAAAATATTATGGGATATTTGGCACGTGGGTATAGTGGAATATTGTCAAATATGACTAAGCACTGGGATTGCAAAATGCCCCCAGATCTGAATCAGAGGCTGTAAATCCCTGTGTAGCATCCATCAGTCATTTTTACCATAAGAGCAGCCAAACAGCTCCAGCCTCACACCGATCTTCCCTCCGTTCTCCGTGTTCCACGCCAGAGGCAGCAGACGAATGTGTTTAGCAGTAAAGGCGTAATGGAAGACATTCCTCTTCACCTGATAATAATTCCAGTTTCCAGGCATCGTCTGCAAACAGATGCGACGGAGAAAGAGACGAGAGAGTTATTGAGTCACTGCAATGCCGTTAACACCTTATTAAGAGACCGGAGATGAACTGATGATGAGATTAGCTCTGTCAGTGTTGAGAGAGGTAATATGCTGTGCTGTCTTTGTTTCAGTGCCAGAGACAATGAATATAATGAAGCACCCACTGAATGCAGAATCGACTGTGAAGATTTGACTAGTTAATCCTTTACTCGTCCGTGTTATGGCCCTGATCCTACGCCCCTACCACAACCATTCTGGCTCAGTGACACCTACAGAGTTTCCTCCTTTCATGATGTACGGCGTCCAGGAATCCGGTCGGTCTCCATAGAGCAGGGAGTACTTGGTGATCCAGTCATATGAGTTGAAGGTCCCCTGGGTGGCGATGGCCACCAGTCGGTACTTCCTGCCCAGGTCAACCTGTAGCCATGGCTGTCTGTCCCTCGGAGATGGGGACCAGCCACTGCTGCCTGAGGGGGAGAAAGACAATTGTTTGATTGGAGGGTGACAGATGCAGTTTGATGGCCACAAAATCAATACCAAACCAAATGTGACATCAACTGAACCTGTAATTTACGGCAGCCATTTTGAATTTGAGACAGACTTGGGGATGGAGACCTCTAATGAGCAGGTTCAGCTGCTTTGTTGAGAAGCATTTAGTATAAAGCAATATATTTATCTAATTATAGCCAATTACTTGTACTGTAAGCATATATCTTTTAACCAACAAGTTAGCAGGTTTCAAAGCTAAATTCACACAGTCACTATAATTGTTCCTTCAGTTGCTAGATTATGTAATCTGAGGTCCATATTTCTGTGCTAAAATTAAAGCAGATTTTATATTTATAGTGCTTATGAAAGTACTTCACTGATTTTGGTGTTACACTCAAACATAGTCAGATTCATGATGGACAGTTTAAACAGAAAAGTATCAAAATGGACACAGCAGAACAAAGAGGTCGTCTTTTTTCTTTTATCCATGCATTCCTCTTCCTTGTCAAAACCTGGCACCTACATTACCCACAATGCAACTCAATTGTCAACAGTTCAGTTGGAGATTTTGGTTCAAACTTGTAGTCTTCAGCCCCAACTAATACTGACTCAAATGACATCACAGGAGGCAATTTATCAGACTTTGTGCAGCTCCCTCTGGATCCACAAAAGGCTTTATATACAGAGAATATTATAAATGCTGCAATGGCAGTCATCATTAATGTTATTAGTTACACTTGTGCTCTTATAATAAGTTCAAATATCTGCAGTGAGAAAGGTCTCCAAGGTGAATGGTGAATGATGAAGTTAAGGACTTACCATACAGTTTGGCAAAATTGGCAGAATACAGGAAGTTATATCTGGAGGAAGCCAGAAAGGAGGAGGCATAGAGCCCGGAGACCAGCGGATCAACACATTCTCCTGCGGTGACAATAAGGAAGAAACCAAGGTCAGAGGTTATTAAATAGATTGTCTCATAATTCAGCATTTGCAACAAAATTATACAGTTCTGGGCAACAAAGACTCGCACTGCTGCACAGCCTGATTAAAAAAAAAAACATTTGGAGTTTAATTAGAGGTTAGTGCATGCTCCAGGAGACACAAAATTCAAATTCAGCTTGATCAGTCCCGTTAAATTCAAAGTGCAGCACAAACACATTTAGGTTTTTTTGTTATTTAAAGTATTCAGATGGCAAGGTCAAAGATTCATATTCCTCATTAATGCACAACCCCTAAATAGCCTCCTTATAAGCAGGTGGGCCACGACTTACAAATCTAACCAAGTGAGCTGACACCTACTCAGAGAGTGTGTCATCTTAGCATCTGCATTTCTTCAAAGGTTGTGTGGGACCAGCAGTAAATTATGAAACCAACAGCTATCTCTGAGATAAACTATTGTGAACGTCATGCAGTTACACAACACCCATTTCATATTTTAAAAAAAGTACAAAGATGGATCTTGGTCGTGTATTGGTCAGTGCTGCGGAGACAGAATAAAGATGTTGCGGTGTCATGTAGATGTCTTTGTGGGTGTGTGTGGGTGTGGGTGTGTGTGTGTGTGTGTGTGTATGTGTGTATTTTACTGCATGTCTGGTGTATTTCTTGAAAAAGTACATGCAGTTTCATGAAAGTCAACCTGAGACTGTGGCTGTGTCACGGTTGCATTCTGCATGTGCTTATGAGACCGATAGGCCCATCACCCATCTGCTGAGGCGTGCTCCTCGGCCCAAGGCTATTACAACTGACCATAATTCTACCTAATCTTGCTTGTGTCAGTGCTGAGGATAAATGCGCGATGCCCTCACCTCAAGCTGCAAGAGAAACACTGTCTCATTTTAAGTGTTGAAGTATGCTCTTTAATACCCCCCAAGGGATTTAATATAGATATAGACTAAAAGAAAAATATAGATGGATTGGGTTTAACTTGAATGAGAAGTTAGGGAGATACAAAAAATAACGTTTTTATCTGAGTGTGCTCAGGACCAACTAAAATAGAGAGACGAGGAAAATGAAAGCATCTCCAGCCAGACCATCTTCATTCAACAGTATAATCCTCTCTAAACGTACGGAGTTGTTTACTGTAGTTCTGATGTTGTAATTCATGTTCTTACAGTCCCAGAGGTCATGGAGCACAAGAGAAAAGGCAGTAAACAGTGGCTGAAAACAGGGTGCTTTAGCAGAATTTGTATGCAGGCTGCAGGTGGGGCACGATAAGGAAGGATACAGCACAGCCTCAAATTTTAAAAACACCTTTGTGGAGGAAAAGGAGTCTGAGTGATGAGAGCAGAATGTTACAGTGAAGAAATATGAATGAGGGAGTAGGAAGCTTTCATCTGCTGCCTTACACTGCCTCAAATGTCACGTGAGCCATTACACAGCGTGAATACACCATTATGTGGAAAAATGAACTGAGTCAAATGAGCATGAGTTCTGTCACCTTTCCTGCAAGGACAGCCTGCACACTCATGTGGAAGAAACGTGCTGAGCAGGGGAAATGTGACCTTGACTTTCAGCCTCTGCCTGCCTCCCTAAGAAGCTTTCTCGCCACCTTCATAACACAGAAATGTTTACAGACGATCAATAACAGATCTCTGCGGCAACACCGCGCTGTAGAGCCATTGCAAGTGATCCCCTGCTCAAAACGGGCCATTCAAACAAAAATATTTGGGGGCTTTGTGCTGCAGTTACACACCCGAAGCTCATTCGCTGCTAATGGCTTAAAATGTATCGATTTGTTTTAATGCCTCAATTAGTAGTGAAGGGAGAGGAATTTGACTTTAAATGCGAAGAGCAGCTCCATGCCAGACTGCAGCAGGTTAACCCAGGCCACTCAGACCCTGAACCTCTCGCCTCATGGCAAGACTGTCACGCACTGTCACTCTGACTCCCCTCTCTCTTTATCTCCATCCCAAAATCATCCGCTCTGTTGTGCGCTCACTGCATCCCATTACCTCATACGCTCTCTCATCATCATCTCCCTGTTTTGTCTTTTGTTTTTTTATTTCTTCCTCTCTCTCTGCCCCTCTTCCCCTTTCTCTCTCTCTCTCTCCAAAAGTGGGCGTTGTCATGTTGCAGTAGATAAAGTGCACCTGAAGGCTGAGCAGAACATCCTGTCACTAGGTTTTCACCCTTCTACTTGTGATCTTGCATGCCCCCCCCCCACACACACACACACACTCCTCCTTCTCCTCACTTCTCTTCACCACACAGAGAAATCTCTATCTCCATTCATCATTAAGAGGCTGTGGGGATAGAGCTCTATCATCACTCCTGCTGAATCATCAGTCTACTGTAAGTGTAGGTCGGTCTGTCTGGGCTGACACAATCATTACTGCGGGTTACATACAGTATGCAGAGAGGCCCCTCCTCTGGCTGTCACTGTCTTGCCTATGATGCGTGGCTGCTGAGGATTCAGACAGCAACCCTGCATGCATGCAGATGTGAACTGAATGCAGATGTCCAACAATATTATATAAAAAACAAAATCCTGCATCAGAACAGAGAGGAAGTAAAAAATATATACAGCGTTTACTATTGGAGGGATTTCCCTAAATTATTTATACCCAGGCAGGCATCACAGTGGGTGGTGTCTGACTACAGCCAGCGATAAAAACCCGAACCATGCAGCACATCAGAATCACATTCAGATTTAAATGTTGATCTGAAACAGCTGCATGTTTTTGTCTCCGCAGAGAGCAACAAACGCCTCCTTCACAAGATATTAGTTCCCCACAAATAGACCAAACAGTCAGTCCCCTGCTGCACGAACTGCTAACCATGACAGAATGTACAAAGCATAAACATAAACTTGAGACTGCTAATACAAACACCTACACAGACACGCACACACCTTAAAGAAAGAGTCTCAGCCCCACCCCACTGGGTCACAGTGCTCTGGGATCTGAGGCTCCATTTTAATCTGGCACAGTTCCACTGTGCACATGCACACAGCAGACATACAGTTGGCCTGGCCTGCAATAAAGTACGACCCAAACCCACAGGCCTCAACTTACTGGTTAGCATGCAGTGATTCAATAAGGTTATCAAACTTCCACTCAACTGCAGTCTCTACTTTTCATTCACTTTTCAATTCTCTATTATGGCAAGATAGTATGATTCACTTCCGAGCACAATATGTGACAGACCTCCTAGTAAAAGCAGAGGCAGTAGGATGATCATATAAAAATCATTTTACATCAGAGAAAAACATGATATATATCAAATATGAACACTGTGCCTATGGGGAAGGTTATTTCCCTACAAAAGCTCAGAGTTCAGAAAGGTGCATAACATCTAGTGGATCCACTTACATTAACACTCAGTGCACAAACTGTAAATCTGGTTGAGCTTTTGTTTCACCACAATACAGGGTTATATCAGGGTTAGCTTTAGCTGAGGGCTGTTACTTCTATTCCCTGTAATTTGAACAATCCAGAATCCAACATTCCAAACTATCCAGAGGTCACATGACTTCCTATCCCTAATCCCTGATCTCCCACAGATGTAAAAACGAATGAGTCATGCAATGCACTGTATGGGGTTAATTAACAATCAACATCTTCTGAAGTGCCCCTGACAATGACATCATCTGTAAAGCTTATTAGTATGCATACATGTTTGATAGATGGGTAGATAGCACCTTTCCCTAAAAGCCCCCTCACCCAATTTTAGCCAGAAACACAGCCCCTCCTCTATGCAACTAAATCCACCACAGGACTGCTGCACTGATAAGTGGGCAATTATTTCTCTGCCAGGTGAATCCACGCTCGTCGTGCGCAGGATGCGGGGTTCTATATGAACAGGTGATGGGAACACAGGCATCCCAAAAAAAAAAAGTACTGCAGTGGGCTGGTCCCGGTCAGGACGCCGAAGCCCTGCTCCCTCAACCGCCACTTTGAAAATGTGCTCAGCGGATTTTCAGCAACAACTGCATACACTGTCAATGCGACACGAAGGTTATTATAATAGAAACAATACAATAGACACACGGGCGGCATCGTGCTTTGCAGGGAAGTCGAGAGTTGAACCCACACGGTGCAGAAACTTGCATGCTGGCTGAGAGAAAGCACTGCAATGCAGACACTCCAGTGTGATGGGGATCACCGTGCGCACCTTCTGCTGCAGGACCGGCGCGGCTCTGCTTCTACACTTTTTTTTTTTTTTTGCGTGTGATCATACAAAACAGCGCTTTACTAAAACCGCATTAGGCAAAACAAGCAGTGAAATGTAATGATCTGTGTTTGAAGACTATGGTTTTATCGCAACGTGCATTGCCCTTCAACACCTCAGGCTACATTTTACCCTCCAGTGGTATTTTTCACTTATTCGCCTACCGAATGTTATTCTGCAACTTTTTTTTTCTAAAACACACGACCACACGCTAAATAATCTGCAGAAAATGCATTTATATACACCTTGAAATATTTGAATGATATTCTAGCAACCGATAAGAGATGAACAATTGCTGTTTCACAAGACTTACGTGATGAGCAATGTTGAAAACCCAAAAATAAGAGGCATATGTTCAGTACTTTGCAAGTCATCCTTCACTTAGGAAACGTTTCTCCGCATGGGCAATGTTAATATAATCGTAGATTGTTCTGCAGTATCCTCTCACCCCCCCCTTTAGCCCAACTTTAACTCGCGCAGCTCCAACTCCTCTTCCCGGGATCTCGGGCAGCCTCTGCCGGGGCGGGGACGCGCATCGGATGCCGAGAGCGCGCAATTCTTCTGTTATATTCTTTAAACAGTTTTATTTACATGTCTGTCATGCCACGCAGTGGTGTGGCTCCTGCGTGATATCATCCAGCATATCTGTAAATGTGCTTAACTGGACGAGTGCTTCAAGGCCAGGAGGGATTTTGTTGCGTCCCTTGCGCAAGAGTCTGGATTTTTTGGATGCAGAGGAGTCCGGGGAGGAGCACGGGAACAATAAAAACAATTTTAAAAAACTTTTCACGTCCGCTGCAGATTGGTCGTATTTTTCAAGAAAATCAAGAATCATATGAGGTTGTCTTCAAATCCCAAGGTGGTCAAAAACAATTTTTCATCTAGACTGTAGATCATAACATCAGTGCACAAAAGATTTAATCCTTTTCTCTTCTGCCCTGGCATCTTCTCTCCTCCTTTGGTGCAGTTGTGACGTGAGGGTTCGATGTGTGGTGGTTTGGATCACTTTTTAATAAAAGAAACAGCTGGGTGGAGACGGATTAACTTTTCAGGCAGCAGTTTTCTATTTACACTTTTCTCCACATTTCGTCCGCTTCATTATTAACATTTGAGAAAGGAGGCGGTGCACTTGCAATCCTATGTGTCGCAATCTGTGTTACGTAGGTTTCGTCACCTCCCCGCCCCTTTAGGAGACAAGCGGCAGTTCTGAGCCTGTTCATTCGAGTGGGAGAAGTGAGCGTGATGCCAGATTAAAACCGATTCTTTGCTGCCCCTGAATTGGGACACAGCTATAGACTGAATATGAAATGCACCATTCGCCATCTTTTGTTACTAGGCGTGTCCCAATAAAGTCTCACTTTAAAACATAGTCCATAAGGTACTGGGGAGGTCTCACTCGACACCTGCTGGGACACAGTGAAGAATCAGAGTCTCGAGCAGGTGTGGCAGCGGGTATAGTGGGGGACTGCCCAACCATAACCTGGCCAGAGGGGGGAGCAATCAAACACTGAGTTCCAGGAGTAGGGGTTGGTGGGGTTGGTGTCTGGGGCTGAGGTTGGGGCAGAGGCAGGCAGCCAGGTACATTGTAGCTCTTTGTTGCTGCAGACTTCGAAGTTTTCAAGGGCAAAGCACCTGACAATGCAGTCAAGCTCTGGAGTTGAGGCTGCAAAGATGAGTCACAATCAGGTGTCTGGTGTCCATGATCCGGCACAGGAGCATAGGGTCTGAGATTGTGGTAATGGACAATCTGGGTATTGTCAGACTGATCAAGGAGGTAAGGAATCCTGTACCTCACCCCAGGAGAATCCACATCAGATCCAAGGCACTCCAATACTTTAAGGGGCCTTTCCAGCGAGGAACAATTTCTTTTTTTTTTTTAGTGGGGTCATTTAACCACATGAGGTGTCCGACAACATATGGTGTGTGCTTGACACAGTTGTCATACTGGCTGTGGACACAATCTCTGTTCAAAGCAGCAGAATGACAAGCTGGCTGAATGTTCCAGGCCAACTGTGCAACATAGTCAGCAGGAGAACCTGGAGTATTTGAGGATGGTGTTGTAAGGCAAGAGCAGGTTGGCAGGCATCCTGGCCTCACGACGAGTGTGTGAGGAAGAAGGGAGTGAACCCTGTAGTAGAGTGAGGGCTGGTGTTGTACGCCGAAGCAAGTTGGTTAAAGCAGTCATCCCATTCACCAGGCTGCTGAAGAAGTGATGAACTGATCAGTGAGTGTTCTGTTGTGGCTGGTTCGTGTTTTTTGGATGCCCAGCAGCTGAAAAAGGTTTTTCACTAAGTCAATAATCTTGAACAAGCACATAACTATTGCCACGACTTGTGATGGGAGGCTCAAGTATCTCAGCTGCGACTTTTTGAAATGGCTCAGTAGCAATAATTATTTTCATTGGAGAGGTATTGGACTCCGTCTGGCATCACATGGAGTACATTGCTGGGTTGAAACAGGCTTTGGATCAGTACTGCAGGAGTTGTAGTGATGCACAGAACTGACAGGACAAGATGGACTTACAGGACTTAAATGACTTGTCAGGGTGTGGACTGGCATGAGCTGGGGAGGAGATGCTCAGGTCCGTAGCTGTGGTGTCAGTAAGGCGACTTGACACGGCATCTGTATTGAGATGGCAGCTGCCATCTTTGTGAATTACAGTCCTCTCAAAAGAGTCAAGTTCAAGAGCCCAGCGTGCACAACGACAAGTTCTCTCATTGTCAGTGGGTATTTTTATGAGACCCAAGAGAGGTTTGTGATCTGTGACAATAAGAAATAACAAAGGGCTGCTTGTAGAGGTAGTGGTGAAAATTACAAACCGCCCAGATAATAGCCCAGAGCTCTCTATCATAGGTTGACCATTTCCTTTCTGCTTTTGTTAGAATATAGCTAGCATATGCAATGACTTTCTTATGACGTCACTGTCTCTGAGCTAGCACAGCACCATTTGTAGAGCATGAAGCATCTGTGTACAGGGAGAATGGCAATGTGAAATCAGGGAACGCAACCACTGGAGGGCTTGAGAGGGTATGTTTTAGGTAAGTGAGTGCATCCTGACATTGAGAAGTCCATTGGAAGAGTGCATTCTTCCTAGTGAGTGCATGTAGTTGAACACTGTGATGTGCAAAGTTCCTGATGAGCTTACGGTTTTATGAACAAAGTCCTAGGAATGCTCTGACTTCTGTTGCTGAGTGTGGCGTAAGTCAATCCTGATCACTTTTCATATTTTGTGGGTATGGCTGAATGCCATTTTTGAATGCAACATGGCCCAAAAATGTAACTTGATCTTGAAATATGGAGAGGATTTCTCCAAGGTGCTGGAGGTGTTCACTGAAGGAGCGACTGTAAATGAGGACATCGTCCAAGTAGACTAGGCAGGTTTTCCACGGGAGGACATGAAGTATCATCTCAATTAAGCGTCAGTAAGTGGCTGGAGCATTTTTGAGTCCCATAGGCATAACTTTGAAGTGATACAGTCCACTGCCTGTTGTTAATGCAATGCAATGAATGTGAGCTCAATTTACCAATATCCATGCTGGAGGTCCACTGTGGAGAACCTGGCAGAGCCTGACAGAGCATCCAACGCATCATCAACTCTAGTAAGAGGATGTTAGCACCAAATGTAATGTGAGGATCCGCTGGATGGAGCTGGATTAATGTTTCAAGCAGCAGTTTTACTTTTCTCCACTTCATCTGCTTCACAATAACAACACTTCCTGTCTCTAAGTCACATGTCACTAAACTAACCAATCAGAGACTAGAAGGATTTAGACAGAGGCAAGAGGAAAACAAGAGGGATGGATTCAGGAGGTTACTGTAACTATTTTTAAAGATGCACATGTAAATATTTAGAAATTTAGATAGTAAACAATAACCCTGTAAACGCAAATTAACTGTAGAAACTATGTACATATATTTTTAGAAAATTAACCAAAATATACAATATCAATTAGCATCTAAATCTTACACAGTTTTTATGACTGCCTACTGGCCAGGAGTGCACTGTGTCAGTGAGGGGATTGTCTTTCTCTCCAGGAAAGCACATCTAAACAATATCATGTATCAACAGCAGAACCACAGAGAACCAGAGGTCGCATCAGATCAGCATGGTGTACTGTTCTGCTGGTTGCCTACCTGACCTTGCCCAGGTACCCACTTTACGCCAGTGCTCTCACAAATATGCCCAGAGCAGAACAGGTTACAGGCTGATGATGCCAGCTGTGCCTAAACTCAGTCTCATCCCTGCACATACACACTCACATACACTCACACACACACACACACACACAGGGGAGGTGGGGGCGGGGTGAAACTGAGGCAGTGGGGGATTTGTGGCAATGTGTGGCACACTGACCACAAAAAAAAAGGCTTTGGGATTAAGAAGTGGGTTTATGGGACGTCAGTGTGTCAGCGATGATGTGAGATTGAATCGCCGGGCCAGCGTGGGATTTACTGTGTTTTCAATCAAATCAGATTGTCAGTTTGTAAGCTCCCTGGCACTGCCCCCCCCCCCACCCCACCCCACTGAAATGCCGTAAGAGTATAGAATTATATCTGCATATCTGCAGAGAGAAGACAATGGCAAACAGAAGAAAATGACATGGGAGATTTAAGTAGGACATCAAATCAGCAGGGGGAATGAGTTGCAGATGAGGCCCAGACACTGCGGAAGTATTTATTTTTACATGTACAAAATGATTTGGTGAATTAATCTTAATCACAGTGGGAATCTATATATTTCTCATGTGTTCTGGAGTGGGTGTCTTATTGATAGTGTGCTTACTTCACCAATATACTTATTTGTTTCAAGATGAGGCTAAAACCAGATGCACTTATATACTATAGCACTATAGTGGCACATATAGGTGTGTAATTATCTCACATTCCTCCTGTGTTTTCTTCAGTCATTGGAGGAAAGCAATCATACAGTTTTTGTCAAATCAAAAATTGCAGAGAAATAAAATGGGATTATTCTATTTCATCATTGAGTTTTCTTTGTTAGATAGTAGATATTATACAGCATCAGAGAGAAAGTGTTTTAACATGCACAGTACATGGACACACACAAACACATGTGCACGCTCCCTCCCACACATCTGCACCTAGCTTATAGATGTGAGGGTTGTGGTAAGGCAGGATCTGCCCATCTGTTTCCCCCAATGACCTCTTACATTTGACCTTATAGTAACCATAGAGACCAGTCCAAAGGAGACCTAATACGATCCAGTTGGTTTTAAACTCCTCATCTGGATAAAACAACACAAAGGCTCAAAACTGAAAAACTGATTAACAGGAGCAAACAGGCAGTTTTTTTTTTACCAAATATAACTCAGGCTCGTTACAACTCAGTCTGACTCACAAAGTGGTGGTACTTTTGGCACCCAAAATGTTCCTGTCTTATCAAATCAGTCCCACAATCCTCTTATTTTTCTCCACCAGTGAGTTGGAATAAGTCCATATTTCACATTAAAAGCTGACTCATTTCATGAAACAAATAAATGAAGTAAATGAAAATAAAATATCTTTAAAATATCCTAAAATAAGGCAGAACAAGGCCAAACAATCTAATTGACTTTACTGTTACTTCAGGTGACGTAAATGACTCTAATTTTTGATTCATTGTTATCTATTTATTTTTTAAAATACTATTTGTCAAATATTTATTTATAATAAATAACAAAATCAAATATTAAAATATTTACTAATCCCCTCTACTGACATTTTTAAAAGTCAGTACATGATTAAAAAGCTTATCAAGCTGGAATAGTGTATGAAACACATGCATGTACATGTATGTATGTAAAAAGTCAAGGGAAATGTAAAAGCAAAGATTAATAATCTTGTTTTAGATAGTGTGACTCCCAATTTTCATTAATTCATGTGCATATGAAGTAACTTTGTACTTCAGACACAGTTTCAGAGGAGTCAAACCACAACTGACCACTAGATGTCAGATAAAGCTCAGACTTGGATCTCTGTTCATTACACATTATGGCAGCTTGCACGATTTGACTGATAAGCTGCTGTCCATGTCTCTCCC